AACAGTGTGGGTCTTTGCCGCTTTCACAGCAGATTTTTCGTGGTGGCTTGTTGCATTTCTGTTCCTTTCTTTGGTCTTGTGCAGTTTCCTGAGTGGGGTGGGGGACTCCACTCAGCTTCATTTGACTGTAAAGGCATCTTTTACTGGTTTACCTGCTTGTTTTGTTTTCTGCAGTCATCTGCATGGTGTTGTGCTTCAGTACAGTATACTCAGGTGTTCCCTCTTTCTGCATGCACTTCCCCTTCACATAACAAACTCGGTGTGTAACTCTTCTCAGCGCCCTTCACCCCAAAATCCTCACACCTCTCTCTGCACAGCTGGAGCCCTTTATTATGGTCTGCTGTCTTGTTGGCGGCTGGTTCTACTGATACTGTTTACTGCTTTCAGTTTACATATTCACCTAACTGTGTGAGTATTCTGGTTTCTCATCACTCCTCATTATCTCCTCTTAGTGGTGAGGAGGAGGTGGCCCATGGCATGAAGGTCTGGAGGAAGGCTCTGACTGAAGTGCGCAGCGCTGCACAGCTGGCCATGTGCATCCAGCAGCTGCAGAAGTCCATAGCCTGGGAGAGGTCCATTATGAAAGTGGTGAGCAGCATATTTTCAAACCACACATCTAGAGTAGCTACTGTTCTCGTTGCTTTTTTTTAATGGATGCCTTTGTTTTGCTTTGTTAGTACTGCCAGATTTGCAGGAAGGGAGATAACGAGGATCTGCTCCTGCTGTGTGACGGCTGTGACAAAGGCTGCCACACTTACTGTCACAAACCTAAAATCACCACCATCCCAGAGGGAGACTGGTACTGCCCGTCCTGCATATCTAAGGTATCAGAGCCATTCATAATGTCTTCTTTCTTCACTGGAGTGTAGAGAAAATCCTAGTTATTAAGCATGTAGTTCTTTTGATGCCCACCTTCCTCTGTTATTAAAATCGTAATACTTTTATCCACACAATATACAGCAATATCCAATGTTGGTATTTAACAACAATTTATTGGTCAAAGAATGATATTAGTCTCTATCGATCTTGGGCTGTATATGCTTTGATTTGAAGTATACAATAGAGAAGTGAGAGGACGTCCTCTCACCTCTCTATTGTATACTTCAAATCAACAATAGATAATTTTAAGCATTACAAAATGTGTTATGTAGATGTGTTCAGGGTCAAACTAAATCATATTGGTGGTGTAAGATATGACAAGTTCAACTGATACTTTATCCAAGGGGAGTATACATTTGATAAATTGGTTTAACTCAACACTTTACGAACCGTTTTAGTTGTACCAGACCTCAGATAATGCATTGTTTCCTTTACGCAGGCAAGTGGTCCAGTTCCCAAAAACAAAAAAACTCCAAGCAAAGCAGTAACATCCAGCGGGGGAGGCGGTAAGAAAGGTGGAGAGGGGAAGAAGAACGGGAAGCAGGCGGGTAGCGGGGAGGCACCGGAGGAGGATCCGGCCAGCGCCAGCAACACGCCCAAGAAGGGAGCAAAAGACACCAGCAGGAAGAGGAAAACAGAGGAGAGCTCACCTGCTCCGCCAGCAGCCAATCAGGAAAGCCCTGTGTTTGTGAAGAGAGCCAAGACAGCCAGAGACAACAACAGGGACCTGGGTCTGTGCAGGTACTTGCTGACGGCCTGTTCACACTTGTCTTTTTGTTGAATTCTGCTTCTTAATACGCCATCTTATAAACACACACAGTCACTGCCATCTACTGTTGGGCTGTAACTAATTGTATTTTCTATTTATCCATAAAAAAAAGTATTTTTGAATTTTTTAGTATTTTGAGGTTCAACCCTAAGAGATACGGTTTTTGAACAAATCAAATTATGCTATTTTTGCCTAGATTAAAAGTTCAAAGTTCATTTCAGCCAAAAGTAAGATTTGAGCCTAGTTAGTCTTGTTTTCCTAGTTTTGGTTTGTATGAGCTTATAAACACAAATATTGTTAAATCTCTTACAGCAAATAAAAACTTCACACTGCCTTTAAATAAATGTTGGTCCACAGGTCCAGTAGTCATTAAGAGTTATTTGTATGTCTAATTAATTCATATCATATTAATCTCTGCTTTTAATCTATACCAACCCCTCTGGGAAATATCTGGCTCTTAAGCTGTGAAATGTTTCCCTTAATTAATAAACAATTAACACGATTTCATTTCATTTGATAACAATAAATCGGGCGCCATAAAACCAAATCAATTAGCTGAAAGACTCTATTAATGTACGAGCTGAGGGGTACTGCAGAGCTGAATAACAATGTGTTGTTACATAAGCAGCATGTATTGTATAGTTAGTGATATTGATAATAGCAGCTTTGAGGGAAGAAGAAACCTGCAGTGTTTTCTGTGTTTAACTTCATGTGTGTTTATTCGTGTGTGTTTGTGTGCTCAACAGGGTGCTCCTTGCTGAGTTGGAACGGCATCAGGACGCATGGCCTTTCCTCACACCCGTCAGCCAGAAATCAGTCCCTGGCTATAGGAAGGTCATCAAGAAGCCCATGGACTTCTCCACCATACGTGAGAAGCTTGTGAACAGCCAGTAAGTCAACCTCCATTTGTTATTGTCCTATGCAAAGCTTCAGGGTGTTTGCACATCATTTCAAAGTATGGAAATATTTGTTTACAAAATATGTTTTAGTCATACTATGTGTGTACACCTCAGTGATGTCTAACTTTTTCCCTTTATTGCAGGTATCAAAACTTGGAGACTTTCATCATTGATGTCAACTTGGTCTACGATAACTGCGAAAAATTCAATGAAGACAATTCCGAAATTGGTCGAGCTGGTCACAACATGAGGAAGTTCTTTGAGAAGCGATGGACTGAGCTTCTGAAACAAACAAACTAAACGTCTGTTCAGACCCCCCCCTCATAAACCCATTAAACTCTTCATTTCGGAGCACCAGGTTTTACTTTATTTTTATTTTCTGATGAAGAATGTGGCTTTGCAGGATGGAAGAACAAGTCAAATTCTTAATAAGGAACCATGGTGTGCTTAGGAGAGATGACACCTTGAAAAAACTAAATGTCATGTTATGAGGTGTGCTGGATTTTATTACAACAGGGCCCCAAAGAGTCCCAGAGAAACGGGGTGTTGTAGTGCAATACCATTCCCTGTCTCAGAACACTGCACTGAATTAATCCTCAACTGTCACTGATATGTCGGCGCTAGAATACTTTCCACTACTTGTACATAGTCTTTTGTTATTTAATCGTATTATAGTGAATGTATTTAATTTTGTAATAATTATTTATGAATCAAGGTCCACTTCATTTTCTATGAAAAGGAAGAATCAGCTGAACTGCTTCGAATTGAAAAAAGGAATGTGTCTTTGTGTTTTAATTTTTCTCCCAAATATCAAACAAAGCCAAGAAAAAAAAACCTGTTTACACTGTTCAGTGCTTTGGAGCAACAGAGGACTGTATTCATTTGTTCAGACTGTACAACTGCATTTATTCACAGGAACAGCAGAGGCACAGTTAGACAAAGGTGATTCATGTGTATATACTGTTTATTAATGTCAATATTATGTCTTGTTTGGAACGATGTGTAAAAATTGTTTAAGAATATTAAGATATTGTTTATGCCTTAGAATGATTGTAGCATTCTATTTTAGTGAACGTGATGAAAGCATTATCATAAATATTGTTTGTACAGTATATACATATCCTCTGCAAACACTGTGGTATCCTTAATCTTGGTAGTGCCTACCCTTCCAACAGGGGCATGTAGGGGATGTTTTAGTTTTCATTCTAATGACAACGTTATTTTTTATTTGATTTAAATCCAACAAGGCCTCCAGAGTTGGACAGCGATACAGAAATCATTCCTCTCCATAGCAGAAAAAAAGGAAACACAAGCATTCAGTTATGCTTCCATGATGCATTTCCTCGTAATCTGCCACAATACAGAGGACCTACGGCCATTTGTAACCACTGTGTTGAACCTTGCTGTGTGTTGTGGCCTGATGGAGGCAGCTAGATTTTTTTGTACGCAAGTCAAGAGTACTTGAAGTTACTTTATTTAAATATTGTGGAATAAAAGTATCATTCTTTTGTAGGAGCTTTATTTTTCACTAGTGTGTGGCACGGACCTATTAAAAGGATGTTTTTCAACGTACATGACTTCAACTTGTTTTATTTAACTCCATTCTATAGAACTGTTTCTTTTAAGTGTTGTGTGTGGATAAATCATTTTTGTTCTCTAAAATTAGAACTCATTTATGCACTCAATAATATTTTCATAGCATTTTCATTTTGTAGTTCAAGATAGCGCTTACTAACATCTTTATTATTTCTTTTAATATAATAGTTTAATTTATGGCAAAGCATCATAATTAAAAAACAATAAAGCATATGTGTTGTCTGTAGCTTTCTGTCTGCCTTTACCTGAGAAGTAAATATAAACTAAATAAAGCTTTAAAAAGCTGTGTGAATAAAAAGTGCAAATGTTCCGTTAAAGTGAAGTAGAGTAAAATGATTTAATGAAAAAGCGTTGAGTAAATGTCCTTTACACCTCCCTGCTTTCCCAAGTCACATGACTGTATGTTACAAATACAAAAGTACGCAGTGGACAAAATAGGACACGTCTGATAATAATAATATGTTATACCCATAGTGTAATGTCCCCTCTTATCTCATCTTGATCTATTCGTATTATGATGGCAAAGTAATCAGTAGTTATAGCCGTCAGATAAATAAAGTGGAGTAAAAGGTACAATCTGAATTGTAGTATAAGTATAAGGAAGCAGAACATGGAATTACTCAAATAAATTACAAGTCTGAATTGTGTTATTGCAGTACTTGAGTTACTCCACAACAATTCAGTAAATCGTGTACTTTTACTCAACTACATTCATTTAATACCTTTAGTTACTTTGTAGATTTGTATTTCTGATGTGAAATATAATCAACAACACATAAGACTTTAGTTACACCACTTCCCCCCATTATTGAGTCCTGATTTCAGAGCTCATCATCATGAGACAGTGGGTGACGTAACCAGCTTGACGTAATGGTCAGCTGTTCAATGCGGAAGAAAACATCATTCAGCTGAACGGACAACACGGAGGGAGCTTCACGGCTGCAGGTAGACGTAGCTAACACTACCATAACATGTTGTGTTATTTACGGCCTGAGTTTGCTTGTTGGACTGTTACTTGTCATAGTTTGAAAGTGTCGCTTGTGAATAATGGCCTATGTTTTTAAAACATTAGGTATAAAGCTAGCATAAAGCTTTAGCTACAGTCTCCGCAGACTCAGCACCTGAGGCTTCACTGCTGTCTTTCTGATGGTGTTTCTATTCTTAGCACATCTTTACAAATCTATAAAAACGGTATTCAGCCTGTTTATTGTCTGCAATGAAACTTAAATGAGCCATTTAAAATAAGCAAGTGCTGTTCATATGTGACATTTATACAGGTACTTGACTATTTTATATTTATACTCCACTACACTTCAGAGGATATTATACTCCACTACATGTATCTTACTAGTTGCTTTTAATCATACGAAATATAATCATCAAATAAAATACAATCTATTAATGAGCAACCTGCAACATTGAAGGGATAACACTTTACTGAAGTCAATGCATGCCTTTAGTTGCTTTAGTTACACAGTGTGTCTGCTCTGTAAATATCTTAATTTTTCCACCACTTCTAACTTGCTTTTGTATTATTTTACTATCAGCATCAGATAACCAATCTCACTTATGTGGAGGGCACAGCTCTGCACTTATCTGAAATGTTTAGTTATTAGTCCTATGCTTTCACGGGAACGTGGTCTGAGCCATGTGAAACACTCAAAACACATTAGCAGAGCTTTTAGAAATGGAAACGATCAAATGTTGAGACTCACAGCTCACAATTCCTGAAAGCCCAAGGTGATGTCTTGTTTTGTCTGACCAACAGTCCAAACCCAAAAAGATGTATTTACCAATGATATGTAATATTAAGATTATACGGAAGAGGATTAGGGCCACATGGAAAAGTGAGGTAGTAGTGGGGATGTGAATTAGATTGTTTTCATGTGTCTCTAATCCTCTTCCGTAAGATTACAGTGTTTCCTTACAATGTGTCTTTCCTTCTCTCTTTGTGCACTTCAGGACCGGCTTTCCAAATGACGTCGCTGATTTGCACTTTACAAGACCACCGAGACGATGTCAACTGGTGTGCCTTCTCTGGGAAACTGTTCGCCACGTGTTCTGGGGACAAAACTCTCCGGATATACAACACGCACGACTTCTCCGAGCTTCCCTTCTCCCCGCTGACGGGACATGGGTACACCGTGCACTGCTGCTGCTTCACTAGCTGCGGACAGTTCCTCGCCTCATGTTCCACTGATGCCACCACATTGGTCTGGTCCATGAGCACGGGAGAGATCGAGGCCGTGCTGGAGCATCCCGGCCGTAGTCCTGTGAGGATCTGCGCTCTCTCTCCTGACTCTGCTCACCTGGTGTCCGGTGCATCGGACGGCTCTTTGGCTCTGTGGGACTTCCCCTCCAAACAGCTGCTCAGGTTCATTTACAATCTTAGATTTTTAGTAAAGCTGTTACACTAAGTCAATAAAAACAATTATTTAAAAGGGTGAAGTGGGTTTTTTAAACTAATTTTAAACAAGGCAAGTTTATTTATATAGCACCTTTCAACACAAAGCAATTCAAAGTGTTTTTCAAAAATGAAAGACATTAAGAGCATTAAGAAATAGTGCAGGAGAAACATATTATAAAAGGGCATTTAAAAACACTCATCTAAAAGCAAAGATAATATAACGTGAATAACACAGGTACATGAATACAAGTTACAGTGCAGTGTGAGATATGAATATATCAATTAAAAGCAGCGGCAAAAAGAAAAGTCTTCAGCCATTTTCAAACGAATCAGATTTAGTGATAGTAAATGCAGATGTTTTCATACGGGAGATACAGCATAGTACACCTCCTTCTTGACAATAGGAGCTGAAACCTTAGTGCAAACGACTCTCCTCACACCACTGTTTGCAGTTGAATGACATAATATGTGTGCTTTCCAAACAGCATGCCGTTCCATATACGTGATTGTACTTGAACAATGGCGTTAAAAGATGTCCCGGCTGATGCAGATGTTGGTTGTGTTCTGCAGGAGCGGAGCAGTGAGTGACACGACGATGGTGGCCTGCTGCTTCAGCCCCTGCAGTCAGCTGTTCATGACGGGCTCCACCTACGGGGACCTGCGTCTGTGGGACCTGGACATGAACCAGCTCCACGCAGAGAAAAACGCCCACGACCTGGGGGTCACCTGCTGCACCTTCGCTCCCAGCATCCTCAGTGGTGAGAAAGAAACGGATTCATAACAATTACACATTTAGTTTTGGTCAATACTCATTTTTTGCATAAACTTAACCCAGCAAGAATTCCTCCTATCTGATTATTGAAGAAACTAATACAGGATACATTAAAGGACACATTAAACAAAACATTACATTTCATTTTGAATTCAAATTGAACTTTACCAGAAACTAAATGAATATGAATAACTACAAAAAAATGAAAATATAATTGTTATTAAGAAGAATAAGGGTAATCTGTACATACAGTTAATTATGCATATCTGTTAACATATATTCTAACCTCACTATATCTCTCATGAGCCAGTCTTATTTCACTGTAGGGAAGAATCAAATCAACCGACTGATAGTTGTTAGTGAAAAATTGAGTCTGTGATTTTTGAATATTTGTTTTTATTATCTGTTTTTGTCTTTCCAGGTGGTCAGTCTGTACAGTTTTGTCTGGCTTCCTGTGGGCAGGACAGTCACCTGAAGATCTGGGCTGTTAACAAGTCCGGCTGTGGAGGTAGAGTGACACATCCTCACCTACCTTTACATATCTTTGCACCCCAGGAGGATCTCTTTAGCTCACATGATCGTTTCTGTCATAATTACAACGTCCAATCGTTATCAGCTCAGAGAGTTGACCTTGGTTTTCCATGAACAATGTTCCTGTGTTGCGAACGAGGTATATAGTTAACAAGTGCCGCCATAAAGGCAAGATTTCACTGTTACCGTGTCAGACAGAAGAGTGTGAGGCTAAATATAGATGTGTGCAGTTCAACAAAATCCCCTCAGATTAGAGCTCTCAGAGGAAATAACAATTATTCGTGTAACGGCTTTGTAATATACCAGCATCAGTGTTTCAGACATATTATTATTTGGATAGCTGCCAGTACAAGCTTCTTTCAGAAGTTTCTGATGCTATTAAGTGCTTTTATATGACCAGAAATTAAGCATATAACATTTTCTAAATGTTCTGCACTCCTATTGTATTTTATTTGTATATCTGACCAATGTTTCCTTTTTCAACTGTTCAACTGTAACTGTGTGTGTGTGGGGAGGGGTCTGTTTACCAAGCTAACAATTGTTGTGACCAATAGCAGAACACAGTCTTCGTATAAAACGTTCATTCAAAACCTTTATTTATCCAGGTAAAATCCCATTGAGATCAATGATCTCTTTTTCAAGGGAGACCTGCAGCAGTAGGTTCCACAAGAAGACATAAACAACAGAACAACAAAAGGACATCATACAGCAAAATGTACAGGGATTACAATTTACATATTTAACCACAAGTACAGGTACCAACAGCATCTGATTTTGTAGCATCCAAACGAGCTTTAAAAACATGTAGTGGTACTAGCTTGGTAATTTTCCATTCTTTCCAACGTTCCTATCTCTATGGCTTATTACATGGCTTAGTCGAATACTCGATTCTGATTGGTAAATTCGGACATTTCAGAAGTCAATATGACAGCAGTATAGACCACTGTTAAGCACTATAATGACCGTTGCTAAGGAGGATCAAGAGAGAGAAAGCACTGGACGTCAGATAAATCAACACTAAGGGAACACGGGCCGTTTCTCAATGTCGAGGAGGCTTGCTTGGTAGCACATGTATGCTGGGCATTTAGACAGTGATTCGGTGCCACTCGATGACGTAGTATGCTTGAAATAGTGGCTCTGGAGCCATGGTATAAACTGAGCAGACTTGGACAGTCACAGAAAACAACAATTATTTTTCCAATAATGACCGCCTCCCTGCACATGATCCCTTACCTACTGGTGAGCTTGGTGTCAGTTGGGTGGGGGTTATCTGACCCAGTTGTGTGTAACTACAGTTGCCGCCCCCCCCCCCCCCTCTCTTGCAGGCTATAAGATGCAGCTCCTGCACACGTTGACGGGCCAATCAGCTCCAGTCCTCTGCTGTGCGTTCTCCTCAGACGGACAGCTGCTGGTGTCTGGGTACGATCTTTAAGAATGTTCTAGAAGCGTTTTGGTGACTTCATATGTTTGCACACATTAATGATTTCCCATTTCTCAAATCTTATGCTCTTTGTTTTGATATGTTCTATCTTCAGAGGTGGGAAGTAACTAAGTACATTTACTCAAGTACTGTACTTAAGTACAATTTTGAGGTACTTGTATTTTCTTGAGTATTTCCATTTTATGTTATGTTTGTATTTCTAATCCACTGCAATCCAGAGGTTAATAGTGCACTACATTTGTGAAGTACCTTAAGTTACTTTACAAATATCAATGAATAATTAATAGATGATACACAATATAATCAACATTTAAATATGACTTTAGTTACACCTGGATTAAATTCACATGCTACCCAGCAGTAAATGAGTTCCACCATGGCATGAGTTTACCAGCTTGATAAACACATTAATACATCAATAATTATAATCAAAACATATAATATATATTATTCTGAAATGGGCCAATCTGCAGAATGTGTACTTTAACTTCAGTAACCTTTTGATTGCAGGACTTTTACTTGTCACAGAGTATTCCTACACACTGGTACTTCTACTTTTACTTAAGTATAAGATCTGAGTACTTCTCCCACCCCTGTTTTCTTTGCCAGAGCAGACATTATCACAAAATAATAACACAACTGTGGGAAAAATCTGACAGAATATTCTCTCTGATGAGATGCAAGTATCAAATACATTTTCTACCAATGGAGGCCGGGAATTTGAGATAAAGCCTAAAAATGTTTTGGTAACTTTGAGAAACTGTCAGCAGAAGTGTAAATTATACACAAATTATATTTGATGGGACTTAAACAGACACATGTACATATTTCTAACTGTAGTAAACCATACGCTAAATGTATATTTCACTTCAATCTCTTGATCTTGTGTAGATCACTGTCCATGTCTTGATGCATTTAGGATCAAGGGAGTGATGTAAAATATTGATTTTGTGCCTGGACCTTTAAGTAGGCCAACGGCATCAGCTTTAAGAGTGCAGTATACAGAGGGAACACTGGGGGGCGACGTGGTTTGCTTTATTCCTCATGGAGTGAATGTGGATCTGAACATGCAGTACCAAAGGTTTATCATATTCTTTGAAATACTGCTCACATAGTTACACTTGTATCTCTTTTCTTTCAGCTCTGTGGACAAAACTGTTGTAATCTATGATGCTGTAAGTAACTCTCCTTTTAGATCGATTTATTTTATACTCCAACTTTTGCATGCTCCATCTATAACAAACTGTTTTATTTCTTTTTTGCATAACACTTACTTGATCTGATTGCAGAGAAATGCAATGTTGCTGTACACACTGAACCAGCACGAGAGGTAAATACTTACTTACATGAATGTGGTTCAATTATGTTGTGGATTTTCTTAATAATAGAATATAAAAATGTATTTTACACATCTGAGTGTACTAACCTACTCTTGTGTTTACATACAAACACAATCTCTGGAGAAGAACATCTACAGCAAGATGCTTTGCAAGGCATTCCTGGCATTATTTAGTTTTTTAAATAACTGGAGGAGTATAATAACCTGTAAGATAATCAAATTGTTCAGTTTTATGAACATAAGCGGTACATTTTAGTTTTCGACCTCTCATTTACAACTAGATCTGACCTTTAGGGAAGGAATAGACAACACTAATAGATATTGACCCAGTGTGATCGCAAAACATGCATTTAGCATTTGTATCAAAAGGCAAGCCTGCTGTCCCTGTGTCTCTCACTACCCTCACACATGCACATACCGTACATATAAGCCACGGCTGAATGATCACACTTACAAGCTATTTAAGTCCAGTGAGCCACCTGTGATTGAACGGCAGAAAGCTCTCTTCCTTTCAGTGGGGCAAATGGGAAAAAATCACTAACTGAAGTGGAAGTAGATGAGGCAAGTTGAGAGAAAGTGGATGAATGGGCACATCATATCATTTGACTAAATGCATTCAGGAAACTCCTTTCACTTTAGTGGTAATAAAACATTGCCAAAGTATGCCTTTCTCTAAATTCTTAAGTCGCATTGATTGAAGTAAACCAGCTTTTTGTGAATGAACACTTCTGAGTAATCCCGCTAAGGTTTCAGAGAGATTGTCTTCATTAACGTTGCTTTGACTTTCTTGAATCTGCTGGAAATGTCTTTTACATTTTATTCAGATCTTTTACTTTTAGGTTTAATTGGACGGGGAGCCTTTGGTATGCCATCACTGAATTGGGACTCTAATGGCGGGCATCTGAGTAGAACTGCTTCAGTGTCTAATGTTCACAGAATCACTTTTCAAAGTTTCTTCTTGCAACTTTCATTTAAAGGTGTCGTGTGTTTTTTGTTTCTCCAAGTTTCCCATTACTGGTCTTTAATTGAAATCTAAGGAATAAGATATTTGATATTCCATATTTGATAGACGGCCTTTACTATAATAGAGGAAGTTACACCTTATTGCTCAGACCATCCTACAGGTGATGACTGTCCTCTGCTGCAGGCTGGTGACGGCATGCTGCTTCTCCCCGACCTCACCGCTCATTGCTACAGGGTCTATGGATAAGACTGTAAACATCTGGAGGCTGGAGGACGGGTGCAGTGACCGAGGTGGGACACACACACACACACACACACACACACACACACACACACACACACACACACACACACACACACACACACAACACACACACACACACACACACACACACACACACACACACACACACACACACACACACACACACACACACACACCCCACACACACACACACACACACACACACACACACACACACACACACACACACACACACACACACACACACACACACACACACACACACCACACACACACACACACACACACACACACACCTCCATTAGAGTAATATCTATATACATTAGTTTTGTCTTTTAACTTATTCTTGTGTCTCCTCTCCTGCACATCGTGACCATTGGAAAGGCGGGAAGTCGTTGCCTGGTACGTTTTATTTTAAATATTTATTATCCTTTACACGTGACACTTGTAAGACAGAGAGAGAGCTGCTTTTACCATGCAACATTTACAGACTAGTTCAGTCTTTAGCAGAGTTTCTAGCTTTGGAGAAGTCATGAGGTAAGTTGGTTTCATTTGTGGGGTGAAGGACACAGGTGTTGTTACGCTCTCTTTTTCCTAATGACTATTCAGTCTCACGTTTTCTGAATGATTACATTTCATTGCTCATGTTGACAGTTACTTACTCCTTTCTGTTTGTGTTTCAGAGCTGTCTGCTTTGCCATCAAGTGAAGGTAAGAAGGAAGAAAATATGTGTTTATATTTCGTCACACTTGGGCGCCTGGAATCTGTAAAAGTCACTAAATGAGGCAACACTTGTGTATTATGTGCACACAAACTAAAATAACTTGCTCACAATATGGAATAGTCATGTGTTTGCTGGTAGGTGCGATTCTGTGTGCAATGTACAACATTTTAGTTTCATCTTGTGTCAATGACAAAGTCGATGAAACCTCCAGACAATTGTTTTCATCTTTACACAAGACCCAGCCCCCCTAATCAATAGATAGTCAGCAGGATTCCAGGATAGTGTTGCACGGAACATTTTGGCCACTTTGCAAAGCATGCTACAGCCCACTAGGACTGAGCGTCTGCCTTTGACTCACTTCTCAGGGAGAACCTCAGCGGGCCGATCCAGGCTGCTGGTCAGCGATTGGTCGGAGGGGGATGTGTCAGCGTGGCTGGTGGAGGAAGGCCTCGAGGGATTGGTGGACAGATTCAGAGCCAACAACATTGATGGGACAGAGCTGCTCAGTCTCACCAAGGAAACGCTGGCGTCAGAGCTGCACATAGGTGAGGGAGGGGGTTGGGGGGATCCTCACACACAGCTGGAGCGATACTGCCTCGGCCCCTCGTGCTGTCACAGTCCTAAAGCTCGCTTATGTCCAAATGTAAGAATATAAACCTTAGTCTTAAAGGTATTACACGCCTGCTCTTCTGTGAGCATGAACGTGTGTGGATTAGGATTTGTGTACCTATTTACAGGATAAAAGTCAGCTCATTAAATTAAAGTAAGGGTGGAGGACTGAGTGAACGTTGATGGGGTTTTAGTCCGCAAGATTACATAATATTAGGCTGCCCAGCAAAAGTATTCAGCTCTGGGGCTTCAGCAGTCCTGACTTTAATCTGGAGCACTTCTTCAGTTACATAACCCAAAACTGTGGGTTTAAACCTAGTGTCATTAGGCCTTCTTGGGTATTTTCAAGTGTGTCTGACATGAAGGAATCTTTGTGACCTTTAAAAGCTATTCTAATAGCTTCCTTTCTCCTGCAAGATTTGCAACCAAAAGTCGAAGTTTTATGTTGTTGATGTCGGTCTACCAGTTAGGCCGGTACTCGTCATTTAGTTGTCAAATGTTTGTTTTATTTCCATGCCTTCATTTCCATCCCACAGTGCCTGTCAATCACTCCTCAGTTTAACAGCTTCAGTGCTCTGACTGCTGGGGAACTTGGAGAACAGCATCGAGTAGCAACGTGTTTAAGACGGAGACACATTTATATTTTTGCAAATCAATGTATTTGTTTCCTCCTGAAGAGGAACCGTAACAAAGTGAAACACAGTGTACCAATAGGGCAACCAGGGAGGGCTTTGTGTTCAACTGTCATCATGTTATTAATTTTTAAAGAAAAGCTACTAATTTCAACCGATTTTCTCAACAGTATTCGGAAGTAAAATGCATTCGAGTGCTTGCTTAGATTTTAACTTTGATACGGACAGACAGTCAGGAGACGAGATGATCTACTCCCACCATGTTCTCTCTCACCCACACTCACATTTGCCATCCAAGAGTGAAAAGTGTTAAACACAGGAATAATACATGCTCTGATATAGAATATATTGTATATATTAGTGAGTGGGTCAGTTCAGCTTGTTCTTCTTGAGACTCCAGTGATTTCTATGTTAATGAGAGGACACAAAGTCTTGATCGTCTGTTTTCTCTTCTGGCACATTTCCTGTCTGTCTGTCTGTCTGTCTGTCTGTCTGTCTGTCTGTCTGTCTGTCTGTCTGTCTGTCTGTCTGTCTGTCTGTCTGTCTGTCTGTCTGTCTGTGTGTCTGTGTGTGTGTGTGTGTGTATATAGAGTCATTAGGCCTGCGCAGTAAACTCCAGAGGAAGGTGGAGGAGCTGAAGAGTGATTCCGTGTGTTCAGGCATTCCTGATGAGTTCCTGTGTCCCATCACCAGAGAGCTGATGAGGGAACCAGTCATTGCTGCCGGTAAACGACAATGAGACCTTTTCCCGTTAACACAATTTACAAATAATTACACGCATATAAATTGGATTCGGTCCATTAGACTCCAACGTTTTCTGTTTCTTCAGTCTGAACAGATCTTTGTGTAATTTTAGTGTGGACTTTTCTCAACAGATGGATACTCGTATGAAAGAGAGGCCATTGAAAGCTGGATCAACACTAAGAACCGGTCCAGCCCCATGACCAACCTCCCCCTCCTGACCACCCTGCTCACCCCGAATCACACCCTGAAAATGGCTATCGGCCGCTGGCAGACCAGCCGCTAGCATCTGAAAGACCTCTGACCCACAGTACCCCAAATATCTTCCCCACAGTAGACAGGAGTCCAAGGCATTTCAGGAACAGGTGCATCAGATTCATTGTTTTTCATTCAAGGCATTCAAGTTTTTTGTTTGCATTAAATTATAAAGCTAACTGTGAAGCAGAATCAAATCAACAGGTCTAAATGTTCTTTGTGCTTATTTAGTTTTAATTGCCATAAAACCTAAAGTTAGTACAGAGCAATATGAGAATCACAGGGTAGCACTGCTTCTGGCCACCTGAGGAATGCAAGGTTAAATAATAACAAAGCTTTATAGATCATTTTAGCTGGAAACGTTGTTGTTTTAGATCTCTCTCGTTGTTGTTTTAGATCTCTCTCAACACTCTTATAGTATTGTTTTCAGCACTGAAACACTGAAGACCGATCAGCCCCAAACTACTACGATTTAGCTACTAGCTGCTAAACACAGTGGAAGATTAAGCAGGAGTTGGTAGAGACCAAATACAGAGCTGAATATTGGACGTACATTCATCTGGTGGCTACAAACACAAATGCTAATGTTGCTCTATAATCACTGTATGTGTGAATAAGCAAGTTCATATTAACTTTAAATGTGATCATATGTCAATGCTGTGCTCATGACGTATTTTCTGCTGCCCCCTAGAGGCCAAAAAATCTGCTATTGCAGGTTTGATTTTCACTAGCCTTTCATCTAAGGCTAAATCCGCCAACTCCTTCAAAAACAATACTTGCCAATACTTCAGTCTCTTTGCAGTAACACATAACATATCGTATGTTTTTTTAGATTTTCATCACAGGACCCTGGTTATTACTAACCCTACTGGATAAGTATGTCATGATTTACTTTCCTGTGCAAAAAACAACCCAATTGAGATCAATTGGGTTGTTCTATATTTGTATCTATCCATACACACTCTGAAGCTCTGGGAGCATTTTATGGATTACACTGTGAAAAAAGTAGATGTAGAAATGAAGTCCTCCATTAAGATTTTATTATACCACAATGATAATGTGGTAACATTCTGTAATCCATAGACTGACTCAGAAAAGGGTATATGACAACTATGGACATACAGCAATGTACACAGTCTTAATATGTTCTATCCTCGACTGTTTCCTTGACTGCTTGTGTAAACGCTCTCGCTCTTTGTCCAAATAAAGCAATAAACACTTATTATGAATATGTTCTCTGCTATGCAAAAATAAATTACATATACTGTGAATATTGAAGCAATCAATTCAATATTAGATTGTGACTATAGTCGTACAGCTCATCTTTTATCAAATGTACCAAGAAAAAGAATCTCAAGCACACAAAGTAATTTCTTTTCAAGCCTGTAATGCTGACGGATAACCACTTACAGGGAAATATATAATCTGCAAATATAGTGTACACCGTACAAATATAAATGTTTTTTAAAAGACACTTGACGATAGAAATGGTCATATCCTGCAACTAATAGCATGAGGTTTTTTTTTTAATATTCGTGCACAAAAGCTTTCTCTGACTTCTATATTTGTTATAATAAATGAAAAGTTAAGACAATATATTACTTTTTTTTTTTTTAAATCCCTACTTAAGGTATGTCTGGTTTTCTTGTATACACTAGTGTAGCTGTAGACATGTAAGCAGAAGCGTAGTAGCCTGAGTTGAACACTGGTTCTAGATTATAAATGCAGTTCAGCAACATAACTCTACAAAACAGGCTCACCAGGGAAGCAGCTAGCTTCTCAGCTAGCTCCCTTGCTACCTTATGTGGGACAAAGTTTGTTGAAAACCTGTGCTTTGATAAAGTAAATTCACACGTTGGACTCTATAAATGAGCGTTTGGGTTTGATGGGCGCCATATGCAGAGCGGGGTTGTCTCTGGTGAGGCTGGCCTGTCTGTGTCTCCCGTCGGGGAAGCGGAGCTGTGAGGACGCGCTGACTCTGGACTCTCGCTGGAGGATCCGCTCCCCAAACTCCCGGCTCTGCTGCTCCTGGAATGAAGCGCGTTTGAACTCATTGCTCAACCCTTGAAACTCCATGACTGACATACTGAGACCCTCCATCCCTCCTCCCTGTCGGCTCAGGCCAGAGGTCTGCTGGCCCTGGACTCGCACTGATTTGTCCATCACTCCCATGAAGGGGCGGGGCTTCAGCTCAGGTTTGGTCTTGAAGCTCCCGCTACTCTTGAGGGGGCAGGGGGCGTCCACCACCTGCTGCCTGCCGCCGTCTGACAGGTTCCCACTGGAGGCCTGACTGGAGCTGGACCCCCTTGAGCCCGCTGTTCCTCCCCCACCATCCCTCCTGACCTCCATACCGGCCCCCAGGGCGAGAGCCAGGCCGTCCAGAGCCACAGAGTGGGTGGACAGTCTGTCCGAGCCCCTGGAGAAGCTGGAGGAGCGGGGCTGGTACATATGGAGGGGCCCGGGTGGGGAGGAGCTGTTGGGAGACATGGGGTGATAGAGCTCAGTGGGGCTGTGTCCCGGGTGTTCATTGGCTAATCCATAGCCGATGTCAATACCGAGCACGGGGGCCGGCCTCAGGGAAGCGGACATATGTCTGCCTGGCAGTGGACTGGAGGGGCCGCACAGAGAGAGAGGCCGGCCCCCGACCCGGCCCCCTGTCTGGAGAGAGTGGCAGTGGTGATGAGTCCTGCTGAGGCCCTGGCTCTGTCTGTTCAGAGCAGAAACGGGCTCGGGCAACTCCACAAACAGTTGGTTCTGCACATATTCCTCTTGAGGGAAACATGGCGGCTGATCTGATAAACCAAAGGCCACGCCTCCAGGGAGGGTCCTGTTGGGAGCGTACGGATTCAGGAGCCAAAACTCAGGACTTTTCCCACACTGCAAGCTGGCTTCCTCCTCCTCCTCGTCCTTGTCCTCCTCCCTCTCTGCATCAGTGTGCTCCGCAGGGACTTGCCTCTCAAGGCTTCCCTGCGAATAGACGTCTGCCTCTTCCTCTGGGGTTTGATGGTGGTGGGTGTGAGGGTCCCTGTTGTAACCCTGTGCCATGTTGTTGCTGCACGCCTTCTGATGATGTTTGCATTCCTCTTCTACCCGGACCAGCAGGCGCCTGATCTCCCGGTTGGACGGCGAGAGTCGTGCTGCTTCGTGGAGGTCTGCCAGCGCTGCAGCAAACTGCCTGGGGAGGACAGGGAAAGGGAACAAAGGAACTTTAAAAAGACTTCATGTTCACTGCCAGAAAGTAGCATCGCAGTGAATGGCTAACTTTCAATTGAGCAGCTTTGAAATAAGATACTTTATATTTAATGTGTTTGTACCTGCTACTCCTCTTGGCACGTGCTCTGGCATAATACGCTTCATAAGACCGGGGTTTGAGTTCCAGGGCTTTTGTGGCAAACTCCTCTGCTAGCCCAAAATCCTGTTTTCAGATAGAAAAGTACACTTAGTATTGGATGCAGCCCAAACGTACTCACTGCATGATGATCAGTGGTTAGACTTTAAAGTGTTTGTTTAGCAGAAAAGCTCTAAGGGCCAATCCAATACAAATAGTGTTAGGGTTTGCATCTTCATTATATAAATATCGACGCTTGTTTAATGAAACAGAACTAATGACACGTACACATTGTGATTCTGTCCTTGAGAGTGAGGTCAAAATGGTTGCCTTGAATGGGAGATTGTGAACATTGCTGCTGAATGTTTAATGACGGTATCATGTAGTCTCTCTGCTGGCCCTTACTGCATGTATTCTGTTATGATACGTGGAGTTAGCCAGCCAACTAGCACACCCACTGTAAATAATCCCTGTTGAGACGCAGAGAAGGAGAGTCAGCTTGTTTGGCCAGGGAGGGTGACCTTATCACATCACATTATCTGCTCCATTATACATCAGCCACAGTGACCCTAAGCATGGCATTTTTACACAGTCTGTTAGGACGTCTGTCATCACCGGGGTGGGATCCAAACTTGGCTGCAGGCCACACACATCTATCTCTTCACTAACAGCACACGGTTACTCATTATGTCACCACCTGCAGGTCTTTCACGTACATCCTGTTTACCAGGGGACTTGAAATTAGATCTGAAAAGCAGAGGTATTTTTACTGTGAGCTAAACCCTTGTTGACATTATCTTTTGCTGTTTATAAGGCTCAATTATATATCTTAAGGAACCATCTATCTTGCCTTGCCAGCCCTCCTGCCATTCCCTCAGCGTCTAATAAACCTGCCGGTGTTAAATAGTGCATGAGCAGTTTGTTACAGCAGGGGCCTTACATTGGTTTTCCTGCGGCAGCGGGAGAGGTTTAGATAGAGGGAGACCCGCAGCTCTTTGAGCCCTTTCAGCTCGTCTCCTTGCCCCTCACGAGGTAGCTTCCTCAGGGCATACTGATAACGCTGGCCTGCCTCCTTCATACGTCCCTTCTGAGAAACACACAGCAAGACAGCGAGAAAGAAACAGATGATAAGGGAAGACAGCTTCTGACAACCAATCCACAAAAACACCTTGTTTGAAGTCTATTAAAAAGAAATGCTGCAAAGTTTGCCACATTCTCACCGTCTACAACAATCTACAATACCTTGTAAAGCATGTTCCCTTCCTCCATCAGCTTCTGCAGGAGGATGAGGAGGATGTCTGGTTTGGAGGAAGCCATAGCCCATGTAGCGTGACCTGATGGAGGGGTACACATATTTATCTTTCTATTATCTATGTCAACTTGTCTCTTTTACTTATGTCTTGCATACATCATGTACCTGATCGATCATGTGGAGCCGTTTTGTAGCCTGTTGGTTGGTGAAGGTCGTGACCGAGGAGGGAGACAGAGAGAGGAGAAATGAGTTGGAGAGGTGGATGTAAAACTGTAGGTGCTGCAGAGTAGAAAGCATCAAAATACAGCATGGAAGTCAAATAAGTGATATAAAGGTAGGGCCTGCAGGTGCTAAAATATTTCAATATATACAGATATATATATACCTGTAAGTGAGTCTTCATCAATTATATAACATTTAGTGCCACAAAACACTTAGTGGCAAGTTTAGTCAGACTTATGTGGATTAAACTGTATGCTCATTTTATAGGCTGTGGTGCCGGTATAGGAGCTGTTTAACTGTGTCGTGTACTAGTTAGCTGCTTTTTGATCATTGTTTTGACTGTAAAATTCATGGGGGTGAGAGTAACTGTAGGGCTGTTATGGTAAACATTGTTTTATATACAGTCTATGGTTTGTACCCATCTTGGATCCTTTCTTCAGCAGCGAGGCCACCAGGGCGGGGTTCTGGCAGCCCGGCCCCCGCTCCGAGCCTCTGGTGGCGGTGGTGTCTCTCTCCAACACCGCTCCATGTTCCACAAGGCAATGAACCTGCTCGTGCATGGAATAATAATATATGTTATTGTTGTATTGAAATCAAAGTTTCTCATAATAGAAATGTTGCTGGATATGTTAATAATCTGTTTGATTGCACACAGTGTGTCCCTGCATTAGCAACAAAGCTGCCCCTTCATATCCTGAGGATTGTGATTGTTTAATCATCAGATAGCTTTCTCTCCTGCTGATCAAGTTTTTGAACTGTGATTGAAAATTGACATCCTGTGTTGCAGGGGAAATCATTATCATAATTAATAGTAATTATGAATTATTAAAGTTTTCTAAAATAGCTCGGTTTTTGTATTTTTGGACCATTATGTGTACTGTACATTTCGAATAGGTTTTTTGTAATTATCATGTTATGCAACTTATTGCTTATTTGTCCACCAAATTGCATGAGGAAGAAACTAATGCATAAAAGTATTTAGGGTGAAATAAAAATTATTTCAAAAGAAAAAGAGTGCAAAAAAGAAAAAGGGAATCCATTATCAACATAATGTCATATAAACAACAGCATGAAACCCACTATATCTGCCTCCCCGTTCAGAGCAGCGAGGTCCAGAGGGGTCCGCCCCTGTCGGTCCGGGTGGTTCAGGTCGGCGCCGGCCTCCGCCAGCAGCTGCACCGCACCTTTCTGCCCCTTCAGACACGCCCAGCTCAGGGCGGTCAGCCCGTCCTGATCCGCAGCAGACGGAGAGGCACCTGGGACAGCAAAAAGGCAAATATCGTTCTGCTGTCCATATCAGTAATCTGGTTACAGAGTCTACATAAAAGAATGAGAAACAGTCAACTGAAATATATGAAATAACAACAAAACAAACCAGAAATCAGAAAAAGAGACAACAAACTTAAAAAATGTAAACTGATAACCAAAATGTATAGGATATAGTAAACGGGTAACATATACATCGTTAATACTCATACGTACATTATGGTCACATCCAAACTGGAGGGTCAATAGAAATGTTTTTTGTTCTTTATCTCACAAATGTTTCCTTCTATCGTGAAAGATATAAATCTGATTTATATTTCTCATAGTTATTTTTTCCATTCCATATATTTCTTTCACAAGATTGTTAGATTCTGAATTTATTAAATGATCATCTTTTAGCCAATTCCTTATAATTACCGGTAGTTTATTACTGCTACTCTTTGTTACAAGGAATAAGTAGGAATTGTTCTTTTTGATTTGTTCTGGTCCAAATAATAGAATAAGTGGGTTTTTATTTAGAGAAATACAAAACATAGTAGCCATTTCTCTTCTAGATAGAAGATACTGTGAGATGTTTGTTTCTGAGGTGGGGACCCTCACCCTTTGACAGCAGCACTTCCACAGTGCTGGTGTGGTCCTCTGAGGCGGCGAGCATCAGGGCTTTGCGACCCTGCTTCTCAGAGACGTTGATATCTGCACCGTGCTTTAGCAGCAACTCAACAACCTGGAGAAGAAAGGAAAAGTGTTACAGAAAAAAGAATACCGGTTCAATAGAGAACGTCCTGTGCCAGTGACCAGACTCCTCTTCACCTGTGTGTGTCCATGTTTGGTGGCACTGAGCAGCGGGACCATCCCCCTGCGGTTCGGTATCTCCAGCCCTGCCCCCCCCTCCAGGAGGAACGCACACACCTCCATCCTCCCTCTTCCTGCTGCCGCGCTCAGCACTGGCAGAGGGTCGGCATAGAGATGAGACGACGAGGCGGGAAGAATATGTAATTGACACATTTAGGGGAGAGATAGAAGCAGGAGTGAGAGACGGAGAGAAAAACAACGTTGGTTATTACCATAATCTATTTGAGGGTAACGCAAGTGTTGTGTTTTCTGTTTGAATACAAATCTACACATCTGACCAGTTATGGAAATCAACATTGTCTTAAGATGGCTACATTTTCTCTTTTGTTCCTCCTTCTCAGCGAGAAAAAACTAAATGTCCAACTCCACACACTAATAACTTGCCCCCTCCCTAACCAGCCAGTGTTACTTTGACAAATGATGGGCTTTTTTTTACATGCGAGTCCTTCAGCTAATTGAGCAGCTGGGGATAGAGGCAAGGTATTGATGCCATTCTCTAACCTTCAAGTACCCTTAATAAATGACATGTTTCATTTGAACACATGCTTCAGTGAACAGATTGTATCTTACCGCCTTTAAAGATAAGTTATTGTCATATATGAGACAATGAAAAAAAGAAACTGGTCTTTGTATCAGCTGTGGAAAATTACAGGGATAGTGAAGCTTCAAATATGCAAACTGAAGCAGTGACAATTATATTGTTATTTAAGAGAATATTTAAAAGATGTGCACACTCTATGCACTACTGTATTGGGTAATTGCAACCACAGAAGAAGTCTCTGGTGAAGTAATCAGACTTGTATCCTTGACTGATCATTTTATCTTTGCAAATGGATTGTAATCCAATGATACTAACCCTAAACAGAAACGCCCTGGTATTGTACATACAAAGGTGAATGTTTCAGAGGGCATTGCATGCTCTTACTTTTTATATCTCAGCACTGGAGGGGAGTGTGTAATAGAATTATACTCTAATGGTGCTGCAGGCAGAGACACAGGCTTCATCCGACAAGCTTTCAGGAAATGAACCTAACAGAATTCTGCGGGCCGCACTATCACATCTGTGATAGAGGTAAAAGTATTACAATAAGAGCTGCTTTTTAGTTGCTACAAATGTGGCTGTAAAGATGTTCTGTGTGATAAATGTGATGCTTAATTTCTGTCAAAAAAAACAAGTTTATTTACATTAAAATCAATTATTTGATATTGACCAGAGCACCCTGTTATCAAGTTCTCCTGCAGCTCCTTTCAAATAGCTCACTGTGTGTCCATATTAAAGAAATGTATCAAAGTATCTATGCATTGTACAGATTGCTAGAATGTGCCTAATATGAAACATCAATGGATCCCATTCCCCACCAATGGACAGAAAGAGGGGAGAAAGCTATATTTATCTGACTGATAGAAGAAATTCACCCGTTTCTCCCCAGAGAGAGTCGTGAGCGTCCATCTGCACGTCCAGCTGTTCATCTTTCAAATCCAGCAAGCTCTTTACCACCTGCAGAAAAACACAATTTCAAAGTCCTCTGTATTGTGCTGCGCAGAAAGAAAGAAAAAACAAAGCACTCACAGACCTTGACCATAGCAAACCACATCTAATACATCCTCTAAGTCAAGCAAGGACAGGCACTGTGCTCTACATACAAAATGAATTTCTACAGAGTGTTTTGTCACGAGGGCGCTGGTCTGTTTCCTACCTGTGTGTTTCCCACACTAGCTGCAGCGGTAGCCGCCTGCTGAGCTGCCTTTGCTTTCCCAGTCACAGCTTCAGTGCTGTGGTGCTGCTGTGGGTCAGCGGGAACCTCTGCTCCCCAATCCTGGCCCAGCAAGATGGTGATGATTTCTGCATGGCCCTTCAGCCCAGCGTGGACCAGGGCACACTGGTTACTCTTATCAGCATGGCCCACCTGGCATAAAGGGGAACACAGAAGGACTTACAACACTGGCCGTAGCCCGTAATACGCTGCCCTAAATCAGGCCTGTTTATGTCATCTGTCTCCCAGAATAGATCATGTAGCTGTGGTGAATGTAGAACAGGACTGTTCAGGATACTATTTTGTGTAAAGCCACAGACGGTGTGTTTTTTCAGAGATACAAATCTGGTGTATCCGTAGTAATTACGTCCTCCAAAATCACATTTCTCCCTTTTTTGTTCAGAAGTGACACTGACCATGGCCCCTTTCTTGCAGAGCGCACTGACGATGTCTGTGTGTCCCGCAGCGGCAGCCAGACAGAGGGGCGTCATGCCACTGTCGGTGGTCCCATCTAGCGGAGCACCATATTCAAGCAGCAGAGCCACCATCTCCACGTGCCCGAGGTGAGCGTGGACGGCCAGGATGGGCGCATGTCCAACCACCTCAGTACACCAGGTCACGCTAGCGCCACCTAGCATCAACAGACGACTTACCTGCAGGATGAAAAAGTAGTATGTAAGATGTCTCTTTTGAAAACTTAAAAGTGCTTTATTGTAATGGCATAGTCATGTTAAAGGTCCCCTATTATACTCTTTTTCATAAATATAGTATAGTTCTCAGATATATACAAAACATGTCTCTGAAGTGTGTGGCTCGAAATACCCAACAGATCATGCATTGTAGCATCCCATAAACCCCTCTGTTTCAGCCCTGTTTCAAAAGTGCTGATTCTGGGTCTGTTACTTTAGATGAAAATAAGGAGCCACTCCCCACGCCCCTCTGCGAGATATTTGGTTAAAAAAGATTCCGGTAATAAGGTGTGGGGGGGGGGGTTACCTTGGTTGATTATTGGCTAATGGTTACACAAGCCAAAACATCTTTATGACATCATGAAGTGGCCAAATCTGATCAGCTCATTTTCAGGCCTATTTCCAAAACATGTCATCAACAACATCACCTACAGACCTGTTTTGAATCCAGGAAGTGCTCATTGCCATACCATTCTTTGTTTTTAATAGTGTCGAATTTAGGTTTATAGGTTGTTCTAAATGCAGAGCACATGTATGTCACCTTGATGTTAGGTGTATATAGGTTTCTCAGCGAGGCCAGTGCAGCGGACAAACTGTCTGTGCTGCAGTTCACCCATATCGCCTGGAGAACGCTGGAGGACACACCTGTCTTCTTACTGAGACCCTGTAAGAGTGAGAGAGAAACAGACAGATAGCGAGCAACAGAGAAAGAGAGATTAAGCTTGTTCAGATGAGATCTGTGGTGCAGAATTTGAATTGTGTCCCAGGAGTAAAGCAGTGTGTACAGAGTGCAAACTATTTATGCAAACAGTTCAATATCCACTGTACCATGGGCGTTTTATGGATCTGAGCAAGGCTAATGTGTGTGGGTCATGGTAGAAACAGAATCTTATTTGCATGTGCAATAATACACAGTGAAGTGCATGATCTTGTGTATGTGTATCCTTTGGGAACTGAAGTGATTCAGGAGGGTTGTGGTACAATAACTTCCAGTTCTGAACCTACATAGCAAGTTATATACTGAGCATCACAGTTCCTGTTACCTTGAATATGTGAGCCTTGAGGATGTGGTGTCCCAGTTCCATGGTCTGCTGCCGGTTCAGCTTGCCCTCCTGCCTGGAGAACATGAAGGCCAGGAGAGCGTGGCCACTCCTGTAGATGATTGGAGTACTTATTAATCAGAAATGGCAAAAATGTATAAAATGTTTTCATGGCGTATTCACAACTGTCTTATGTACCAAAGCGTTTGGGAAGCCAATTTCAAAGCACGGCTTTGCAAGATACCATTATGATCACAGACAAAAATGTTGAAGTAGAGCAAGGCTGCCCTAGGCTTATTATAAAGTGTGGTTTAAACTAATTTGTTGAACAAATTATTAAATTGACAATGTACATGTGACATGAGGTAATAAAAAAAGATAATGTGAAAAAAATCACATGCCAGCAAAAAAATGTGCCCTAAATGGATTTGATCTATTTGTGCCAATTTGGTTCACAGGTCATTCATACATTACATTAGATTACATGTTACTTGTTAGACGCTTTCATCCAAAGCGACTTACATACTCAATACTGTGGGCAATCCCCACAGGAGCAATTTGGGGTGAAGTGTCTTGCCCAGGGACACAACGACATGCTGACTGCAGCGGGGTTTGAACCTGTGCTCCCCTGATCCAACACCAACGCACTAGCCCACTGCGCCACAGCCAACCAATTAAAAAACGAATTAAAAAATATATATTTAACAAGCATCTTATTAAACCATTTGACTGACTTGAGCACCGGTCCAAGAAATTATGGGCCTGTTTTCTTACTTAAGTCACTACCCAAAAATGGAAACTGTAGTAAAGCTACTAGTTTGTTTACATGTGGTTCCCTACTCCCCAGCACTGATCTTAATGATTTTTCTGCTTTGATAACTTTGACTCTTTAGTCTCACCTAGAGTCACAGAGAAAGTCACTGCTCTCTCCATCTGCTCTCCACACCAGCCACTCTTTGAAGGAGGGATGACAAAGCATCCGTGTGCCGTCCCTGCGTCTCACCTACAAACACAAATGATACAGAAAACGTCTTAAAATGTCAAGGTATAACAAATTAGTTTGTCAATTTTGTCAGAAAAAATATACAATCCTACTAAAATTCTGAGCTGTGTGTTTGTTTTGCTATAACTCCATAGCAAAAGAAACGTACATGACTATACATGACATCTATGACTTTATAGATGTACGGTACATCTATAAAGTCATAGCAAAAACAAACACACCATTGAAGCTTTGAAACAAAAGCTTGAATCATTATGTACCCTCCCAGTCATATCGAGTCTTACCATGAATCCAGCCAGGCTGTCTAATCTCAGCTGGAAGTCCTTCCACTCCAGCTCCCCCCTCACACTGCCTGCGTTCAGCGCCCTGAACATTTGTTCGTCAGTCAGTGGGTGCAGAGAAGCCAGCGCCACATTTAGCACCGGAAGCACCAGTTCAAAGGCCTCTTTATCCGGAAAGCTCACACGACACATCAGCAGGTACACCTGTCAGATATTTATAAGGTTAATTATGTTGTGTGTGGGTGATCATGGTTGCGTAGTCAATTATATAGTCAATAATAATGGAACAATCCACTGCTAAAGAGAAACAACAGAAGCTAGCAAGCAAATTAACAAACATTTTTCCACAATAATTTGAGTTGACATGTTACACACCGTAGACTGAGGAGTCGTGACTTTTGAGGAATTTACAACTCTTTCTTGATGCTCAAATGCAGCAACGTCAAGGTAAACAGATTAATAATAGCAAGAAAAAGTACAAGAGTAAAGCAAAATGTGCATTATACAAGTCCTATTAAAAATGCATTGCGTTAACACTCCATACATTTCAGCATGAGTCTGTTTTGGAATCATTTGTAATGTTTAAAGAGTTAATTTACTGAATAATTCATATCATAATTCTTCACAAGCTGTCGTATTATACTGCCCACTACCTGGGCCCACACATCTTTTAGCACACCTTTAGAAATGCTTTTCCATATCCATTATCCAATCATTCAATCCTGAATCCTCTAGGCCTCTGTGTGTATAATAACACTTGCTCATCTGTTGTCCTATTTAAACTGGTGATAATTATGCAATATTGCAATGCGTCTGTCATTTACTTTAGTCACTGTGGTCTATTTTTGGCGCTTTGTATAAAGTCTTTGAACCTGTCATTTGTATCTTGTATTGATCTGGATAGTGTGTGAGTACACATTTTATTGCTTTTTGTGAAAAACATGTCTGAACAATGGATGTCGTCTGTGTACCTTGTGTTGGGATTTTATGGACATTGATTGATTGCTTCTGCCTCGGGCGAGATGCCATTTCACGGCAGACAGCTTACCAAAATGACTGACAAGTGTTAAGTGTTAGACTGTGAACTTGACCAGATAGAACGAGGAGGAGGAGGGTGGGTCCAGAAATTCGCCAAAGGTAAAAATGTATGTTATGCTGTACACTATTAAACATTGTAATATACATAGTGTGTGAGCTGATAAATGAAACACACACTCCTCCACATCAGTGCTTTGATACCTTTTTTAAAAAAAAATGAATCCATAACTTCTAGCTCACATTTACTATTTCCCCTTGGGCATAAAGACCCCGTGCTTGTTGTAAATAAATACTCCAAATGTCTGACCTCCGACAGGGACACGGGCACCACCAGGTAGTTTCCTCCTTTCAGAGCCAGGTGGCCCTTGTGGAACAGATCCAGGGTCAGTTGCAGGTACAGGATGGAGCCGTGGCTGCGTGTTGACAGGTGGCTGCTGAACTTGCTGAGGAGCAGCTGATCAGGGACGGAGCCTGTTGGCGTGGTGACGTTGATGGCGACCTGGGTGCTGCTGCTGACCCGATGATGGATGTAGTCGCTCAGGTCAGCGCCCAGATCACTGCTGTCTGGCAGAATGTCCAGAGAGATACCAGAGAAGGGAAGGAGTGTGGTGATTTCCTGTGGCAGAAGAAAACAGATACATTATGGGTGCTTATTGGTAAAAACGGAGGCACAAACACACCTCAGTGTTAAGAATAGTAGCTAGCATGTCTTTGCCGCATAGCTCCCTGCAAGTTAAACATTTAATTTGCTAAGACTAATTAAAAGTCTTAGCACATTCAAGACCCATTCCTCAGATGCTGTTGCCTGTGACTCACGCAGAGCCATGGGATAAAGTACAGTAAATAGTGTGACAATGACTCAAGCTCCAACATTGCTCAGAGGCATCTCTCAGAGTCACATTTCATCTCCCCTCTTTGCCATCATCAACTGCTCAACACCGGCCAAAACCAGCTATGACTGATGCAAAAGATTCATGTTATTGCAGCTCAGTTCCTCATTAACGAAGAATGACATTTTGGTTCAACAACAAGTAATTGACTGATGGTCGAGGACTGAGCTCCACTTAATCCTTTATCAACTGTTTATAAAATACCCAGCGTGGTGGTTATACAAGAGCTCCTGTGAATGGCTGGTAGAGGAAAGAGTGAGTGATGATCAAATCAGGAATTGTGGATACTTGGAGGGTTGGATAATTGCTGTACTGCTTGATGACTTTGAATGTATCATGAAGAATATGACCCTAAATGTGTTTTGTGTATTGCCAAACACTAATCAAATGATGTAACTGTCTGTCAGGCTCCAGACTGGAAGCAGACTCCCAGTAGTATTACCATCCATTCAGGGCGTAATCCATGCAGCATTTGCAGGCTTGGCTTTGGCATTGGACAGATGCGCCCGCTGTTTGGTGGGATTACCAACCGGATTGAAAAAATAGATCAGACTAGAGAGAGAGAGACTATGCTGAAAGCCACAGTATACATGGCATGGCGGTAAAAGCACAACATGGAACTATGTACGAGCAAAGACTCAAGATGTGAGGCAAAGGGAAACATAAAGGGCGTTCACGCAAAATACGAAATCCTTTTCTTCTCACTTCACCTTCCATGTTATATCTAACCCTCGTCTACTGTATATAGTCCTCTCTGCTCACTTTTTGAGGTTTCAGCCTCAACCATAAAGTGTTCAGAGCCCACTTTATAAAAAGGCTCTGCTGGGGGCCAGAAGGGCAAAGACAAGCAGTGAAAAGAACAAGAGGAGCTATCACACACCATCGTCTAGACTAGAGGAGTGGTTCCCAACCTTTTTTTTACCAAGGCACACCTGAAAATATTTCTCGACCCTAAGGCACACCAACTTTTCGTAGATTTAAAAACCACTTCAGAGCTTAAAGATCACGATTCGACAGACATAAATGGGATTAAAATTGCAGTATTTAGAAAAACTTCCACTTTACAGCAAATAATCCACAGACTTTTCAATAGCTATCTTAGGTAGAAAGCATTTCCACTGAAAAACGTTTACAGTGAAATCTGAATCCAGAGTAATAGTGACATTCATCTTGAAATACACATACTTTTATTATCTTTTCCCCTCTTTTTCTTTGCATGGGTTGAAGGGTATTGCATCTAAATTTGGGTAAAAGGGGGGTTTTAAGCTATGGATAGTTTAAAATAGCTGTAAATGATGCCGCCCCCCCCATCTGCCTTGCGTATTAGCCAACCACAATACAGCAACAAATAAATCCCTTGTACCCCATCCCCAAAAATCCCAATATACCCCATTAGCAGTGATACAATAGGTTAACATGCATTATGGGAGAACCAACCCTTTGAAATGGTGGTTCAGAGATCACTCTAATAACACCAATAATCTCACTCACCACCAGACTTGTCCTCACTGTGACCACCAACTTTAGCCAGGGGGGGAATTTGGAGACTATTTTGGTAATGAAAGTGGCGATGGTGTCCCCATAGTCTGGTTTATGGAACTCTGCTTCATTAAGACTGTCGACCAATATAATGTAGTCTTCTTCAGGCAGCCTGCGCTCTGAAGGGAGCAGAGAGAAGAAAATGAGGTTAAATCACATAAAGATACCAGGTACATTACATTAGCCTTGGAAAGAGCACATCATTCGGAAACAAAGAAGATGATATGATTTCATCTGAATCTTCTCATTGTTTTCCAGCCCAGGATATGTTGAGAGAAGAACTAACTGGTGATATTGATTATATTCTGCTGAAAGGGAACAGAGGCCACTGTTGTTTATTAGCTCAAAATAGGACATATCCATCATGTTTCACATAAACTTTCAATGCATCGCTGTGAGGGCTCATACACTCAGGCACAAGGGCTGTCCATTTTTTTTTCTTAACTGCTTAATAGTGATGGAGTAACCCAAACACTCCTCTGCTCCGACAGTGGAGTGCCTGGCCATAAAAACACATCAATCTAACTGACTGACTGTATCGTGAGAAGCTAAGGTGGCTAATACGACTGTAATATTCACATCCTCTCACAGTATTTTGTGACCTTGAAATCCAGTGGGATGCTAATGATTTACCGTGGTAAAAATAACTCTGTCTAACATCTAACATCTGTTTCACACTGTACACTGTTTCAAATCATTGACCTTAACTAGGGAATATAATCTATGGGCTCATCATGGAGTCATTAATAGGCTTTTTCACACAGGACTTGATAGCAGGCTCTCTAATTATGTAGTTAGGGAGAAGACCATTTTCCACCTTAAAACTCTTGCTCTTTTAAAAAGACTTGAATATGAATATTGTCTTTATGTGTGTGGATTCATTACCCTTGCGCAGGCTGGCTATGGGTTCCAGGATTCCCTTTCTGAAGGCAGCGATGGGGTCCTGAACGCAGGATCTCAGACTGAGAGTGTTTTGAAGGTGGGGCTCTTGTGCCAGCAGCTCCCTGTACGGGGCGAGCTGTGGGGCTCTGGCCAGCAGGGCGGCGACGCTGTGCACAAACTCTGGAACCAGGCAGGTGTAGGTGTTGTCCGCCTGACAGAAATGGTACGCCACCACCTGACAGAAGAAAGAGGCAGGTGAAAAACAAAACACAATTGCTTCAGATCCTCTAATGTTTTACTTTTAGAAGTACCTAGAGTGAATTACAAGAAAACTGGGGAGGCTGCTTTCTGTTTTTCCATTGGATCTTAGAACTGCAACCTCAATTGGAATTTTTTTAAGTAAATTAAAGACCTATCTTTTTAATTTGGCTCGTAATTTGGGGCAATTGTAATGTTTTACTAGTATCACTGTTCATGTTTTATTGTTCAATTATATAACTTTTTTTAATTTGTTTATACCTTGTTTTTAATTATGTTCCTCACTTGTTATTGTCATTTTCTATCATACTCTGTAAAGCACTTTGGGCTGCGTCAAGCTTGAAAGGTGCTATATAAATAAAGTTTATTATTATTATTATTAATCTGTTTATTTTACAAAAATATCTGTTCAGGTCTGAATAAAAGATGTGTAGTTGTTAGGGGTGCGGGTGGAGAAGTAGGACAAGAGGCTTTAACAGTGGGAAAATACAAGTCAGGAATACACTGGCCCATAACCACTTTAATGTGAAGTTGGTCTGAAGTGTCTATGAAAAGAAAATAGTTAAGCAATTGAGAAACATCTGAATGCTCTATAGGCCGCTTTGCATGATCTTTTAAAACATCAGTCAGTTTTATGACATGGATTTTCCCCTTGAGGCCAATTTGGGATTAGTTGTATGAGGCTACATCAAATTGAATTCCTCTTGCACTGCAGAGGCAACAACCACCTGAAATACTTTGATGCTGAAGAAAAAGTCTGAATCTGTTTAGTGTGAGGGTAAGGGGGGGGGGCTATTACTGCACAAAATCACATGGTGTTTCTTTCTGTTCAGAATACATTTTCAGTTTTTCTCCCAGGAGAAAAGGGGAATCTCTAAAACTGGTATCACTGACTGTGAAAACAATAAATTATAAATTAGATTATAGAGGATGTTGAGTCATAACATTTTCTCATGACGCTAAACAATAAGAGATTCACGCAACATATTACTGCAGAGTATCTATATAACACATTCAGTAAATAATTGGATTATTCGGTCTGCAAGCTGCATCGTAAATTAAGTCTGAGATATGAAACATATCATTTCTAATGAAAAATAGCAATTGTCTTTGTAGGAGATTAACAGTAATAATGTGCATTTTTGAAGGGGAAATATACACTTGAGAATGATAGTATTCACTCATGGCTTGATAGGGCCTTGACCTTATGTAGTCCACATATATAACGTTATCAATGATTTCACATTTGAGCGAACATCCTCACCATCACAAGTAGTCTGACTAGTTCCCATGGAAACTCTTATTGAGGCCAAGCTAGTAAATTTAGAAGCTTCCATGTCATCTTTGTGATGCAATCAGCAGCATGTTCTACATGTGCCCAAAAAGAGTGGAGAAAACCATGACCTGTAGATTGCAGCTCTTTAACACCGAACACGCTGATGTGTGTTTATCTCTTTCAATTGAACCCTCTTCAGTGTTTTGTGGAGGCTCGTAACAGTCATAGCTCCCAGAGTACAGTGTGTGATGCTGTTTGATATTACGCAGCTTTCAAATCTGCTACAGGAAACAAATCCAGGGCCATCAAATCAGATATTACAACAATCTTAAACTAGGGGCCTTCATACTACGTCAATAAAACATCTTGATAGGTTTTAACTGCCGGTGATTCAGCAGTCTGCTCAGCAACAGCATAAATGACACAAACCAAACAGAAGTGGGTTGTTGTGTGCGTGTGTGTGCGTGCGTGCGTGCGTGCGTGTGTGTGTGTGTGTGTGTGTGTTAACTGCTAATTTGTTTTTGATTACAAATATTCATATAAAATAGAAGGAAAACAATCTAATAAATCCTGCATTGTAATAATAAATGTCCAGGTTGATTTGGAGCCACTGGTTTATATTTCATGGAAGCCATTAAAACAAATTGTAACTTTTTAAACAAAACAGCTGAATTGTAATAACTATATTTGTATAACATTGAAGAAAATAGAAGGAGCCTTTAAATGCTGTAAAATGTCCAGTGTAGTTGTATAATGCTGCATTGATTTGCACTGTGTCACATGACATGTAAGCTATTTAAGAATTCAGACTTTTCAATAAAAGACAGCAAAATCTAATAAAGATCATTGTAAAAAATAGAAGAAGCCATAAAATCCAATAAAATAGGTATGTCCCCTTTGTCCAGTGTAGTTTCAATATCTGGTATGGATTGGGAGTAAATAGGTCACGTAAAAGCAATCAGACTTTTCAAGGTTACTTTTCATTAATATATTAATGACAAATTAAAGATAAACTAAAACCCAGAGTATCATCTAGTGTATTTTGGTTTTGTGTCATTTAATTGGTAATGTATTGATGCTCCCCGAGTAAAACCCTGTGGTTAAGAGTGAAAGCCTGAATGTGAGCTAACCATCCTCTGACTGCAGTCTAGTCAGTGAACTACAGAGATGCTGTTTGAGCGATTTTCATAGAGCTAGGTCAGCTGTTCCCCTCCGTTTCTTGTGTTTATGCTAAGCTTAGCTAACTCCTGGCTCCAGCTTCATATTAAGTCACCAGACATGAGAGTGTGATTGATCCTGTCATGTTGCTCTTTGCAAGTCACAAATATGCCCATTTTCTTTAATCCTAAACAACTTCTTTTAAGTCTGATCTGTTATTGAGGGTCCTCGCATATACATACAAACACGTGTGTGCATGTGTGTTTTGAGGTACCTTGGCAGCCAGGCATCTGACAGCCTCTTTCCTCTGTGCTGTAATATCGCTTGTTCCTGCAACAGCACTCTGGTTGGGCTGGGAGTCAGCTGGCGGCTGTTTGGAGACTGCTTTTCCCTGCTTATCCCCACCTGAACAGTGCACAAGGCAACAACAACAACAAACGCAAAGCTGCCATTTATACTCGTTAGATGAAGTCTCTGGTGTAAGCACAGGAATGCCAGGAGTGAAGTAGAAACACAATTAAACTGCTGCAATTAATTAGTCCATCTGTAAGCAAGACTAGCAACCACGACATTAAGCAAAACCACATTAGCTGTCAGCAAAAGACTGTTTGTTTCAGAGAATGCAGACAAATATGTCTGGATTCCTGCACACTGCATGCTATGCACTCAGTGGAATTTAAATCAAAATGACAACATGAAGTGCAGATATCGATGAATAATGCAATGATGGTGAAAAATGAATGGCACAGTATTATTTTTGGACACTTTAGTTTTGCTTCTTCTGCTCTACTTTTACTTCAGTCTTCAATCTTAACATTGGCTACTCTTGTACTACAGGAAGAAGATAATATAGAAAGACATGCATTTGTTATTTGTTTAACTCCAGGTGTATGTTAAGGTATGTTAGATCTAGTTGTATGAGTTTTTGTTCTCCTTTTTTGCAAGTTTGCAAGTTTTCAGTGCCACTCATGATAAGAAAAAAACAACAATCTCCATCTCCTTACACAACTGCAATCAGCAGAGGAACCTCGGGGGAGAACTTGAAGAAGATTGCGTGACCCAGTTACGAACTCCTTCCCAAAAGTGATGTTTCCTCCAATATCTAACAAGAATCTGACGTTACTGGAGCATACTTGAGAATGTATGAATTTAACTCTTGGCGTTCCTCTGTGTTCTTACACTGAGATACAAAACACAAATGACATGGCACGGGATAAAACTGGAAGTCTTACATTTGGGGGAGGAGCTGGGGCTGTGAGGGATGCTGGGACCTCCCTGTGGTGTTCGCTTCCCATGGCAGCAAAGCGTCACCAGCCGCCAGATGATAGCTGTCTTCCCGGATCCTGCGTTACCCACAATGACAGCCCCACGTCCCTCACAGCTGCTCGTCTTTCTCAGGACCTCCTCCAGACGTGTGAAGAGCCAATCCCGGCCAACAAAAGGTGTCTCTGCGGTGATGCCGGGGACTTCAAACAGCAGCGGTTTGAGCATGATGTCAGCTTGTTTGAATGGCACCAATCTCCCTGCACAGAGAGAGTTAAAGCATTGTAAGGATGGATATGTGATTTTGAGCAGTGACATTTGGTAGGGGCTTACATCCTCTGCATGGGTTTACAGATGTTTCTGCACCATGCTATATTTACACACCAATATATCCCAGGGCTAAGCCGTGAAATACCTTTGGAGTCATCATTTGTGCGTCCAGCTGTGTTGTGTTTGCGGACGGAGCTCCTGTGTCCAGCGGCCCTTTGGTTGTCCAGGAAACTCAAATCTTCCAATCGAGTGGAGCTGGTTGCTGTAAAAGAGAGCAGGTGGTGAATTGATTGAAAGCATGAGAATGATGCAGGGAATGTGCAGAGATACACATACAAACCACACAAGTGTCAAATCCATTGCTTGTGTCAATTATTGTATCCATGGAGACGTGAGACATAAACAGGAGTTGCTCTCAATGCTCAATGACCTTGAACGGAGGAGCGAGAGGAAAATAAAAGAAAATAACTCATCTCCCATCCTGTAATCTCAAACTAACCACCGAATGTTTCATTCTGTCAGGACAGCATATTTGTGATGGAAAAACATCACTGGCTGTAATGCAAGTACTGTATGTATCCCCTCAATCACAGGATAACAAGCTTCAACGACAAAATACACCACTTAAAAGCCAACATGATAAATAAAATAAAGATTGTTGTACAAAAATGCAAGAAACAAAAAAGACTCCCACATTTCCCTATCCATCCACCCACAGAGAGACCTGCAGGTCAGCCAGCCTCACTTTCTGCAGCTCTCAAGACATTTAGCAGAGTCTTCAGTCCAGGATGTTGTGAAGAATAACCAAATAGCCTTTCTTTAATGTGTTATTTACCATAATAATCCATCATTAAACAAATGAATCGATTCCTTCTTTTACATAATATTAATTATGCAACAAAACATTCATACAAACACATAAAAAGGCATGTGCACTGAAATGTAATCCAGTACAATAATCTTGCGATCTATTCTCTGTAAAACCTTTGTAATGTTGACACTGTGTCAGAGAGGTGTTTATTCTACTCTTCTGTCACATTTGAGCCTGTGGCTTCTGTTAGTTTTATATTGGATTGTACTGTATTGTTTTTTTGAAAAATATTCCTAAATATAGCATCACCTCAACTAACAATCTAAAAACAATTCATGGACCATTTATTACAAAAGAGGTATAGCAATCTCGACAAAACTTGACATTTAAAGACTGGCTGAATTTATTTCAGGGATTTTAATTGCATGCATTACAATATTTTATTTTGCAGTTTGATTGAGATCGAGGCTCCTGCAATTACAATTCATTGTTAGTTAACTGCGCAGCTAAGGAACAGGTGACAAGAAAGAAAGGTGAAGAAGCTGTTCTAGTCTTGTCTTTTTCTGTCAAATGTCCGAGTGGTTTATGAATCCAGGCATTGCATTTAACAAGTTAACTAGGTTACAGTCAATGCGAACGGAAGTCTCTGTTGTTCTTGGATTTTAATTACATTGGTTTTCTGAATAATTAGGTTTGCTCCAATACATACTATTGGGTCCTGTGTGTGAGGCAAATTGTTCATCCAATAGTAAATAGCAAAAGTATTAAAACACATAGAATTAATAACTGAAAGCAATGCATGGAAACGGAGCCTAACTAATAGTTTTAAATGGCAAGTCACAAACTGGTCCATTTCATTCATTGCTGTAATATATATAGAAAATCCTATGTCAAATCTGAAAATCTGGCATTACTGCTGCCTCTAATCCCTTTAGAGTGGTATACAAAAAAAGGTCTGAGTCACTTTGCACTCATCTTTAAAATACTACCAGTCAAACAGACAGTAGACCAGAAGATGCAGACCCTGGACAGATGATGACCCCACTCATCTATAATCAGGTACGGTACATGGTAAATGCTTTTATTGGGGATCTCAAAGCATGTGTAAGGGTGCTGCAACACATCTCTTAGCTGTTACGAGCTTTACAACAGAAATTGCGGTCACAGCCGGAAGATGCTGGCCAGAGACGTCCTTAAGCATCTTTCGTCATGACAAATAATCAAATCACTCCACACTGAAACGTCAGCCACACATCACGAAACGTGTTTACGCTCTCTTAACTCGCATCTCATTCTCCCTGGTCTAAATAAGGAAGATGGTTCAGTATTACACTATGTGGTGAATGACACTGGCTTTTTCACGATTCTGTGGTACATGCAGTTCCACCAGCCGTTCAACACTTTGGCAGATCCGATCATAGTCTGATACATGTAGCATCCCTGCGTGTGTCCATCCTCCTGCAGCAGAGTGACAGAGTGGTGTCAAGCTACTGAGGCCATATAATAATTCACAGGGCTTTTAAGAGCACATGAAACCAGCTCTGTGGCGTTCAGTGGACGATGAAGGGCTCCCAGACACTAGAAAAATCAATTAGAGCGTGACCAGTGCTATTATAATTAAAAAATAAATTAGGGACAGGCGAAAATTACAATATACACACACAGTAACAACATGCAGGACACACAACAAATGACCACAGTTTTAGAGCTGAAGTGGAGAGTAGAGGATTGAAACAACATCCACAGCGAGATGACGAGGAACAGTCTGCAGGAGAATAGTGTGAAGGAGGTGTAGAGTGGGATGAGAAAGCTTGCTGGCTAAAGACAGCCAGGCCAAATGGCTGAGTGGACCAAGGATATGAAAGAGTTCGAACATGTTTTCAGCTACTTTGACACGAGAACAGCTCATCTCTCCTCACTTGACAGCCTGACGAGACCCTGCACCACAAACAGTCCATCACTCACCGCCTGCCTTTATGTTCATTGCTGATGACACTGTGGTTGATTACCCTCCAACCCCTGTTGATCATTCAACACTTTAAAGGTCAGCTCTGCAGCCCCAGCCAAAGCCCCCAGCATGGCTGATAGTACAGCCGCTCATGAGCAACTGGTTCAACACAACCTTTTCAACCTTAATTGACAACATTTTGGGAAATTGCCTTTTTCGTTTACGCAGTAAGTTAGATGATATGATTGATATCCCTCGTATGCAAGTCCATTATATATAAAGCTACAGCTAGTATCCGGTGAGCTTAGCCCAGAACATCAACTGACAGAGGATTAAATACACTGAACAAAAATATAAATGCAACACTTTTGTTTTTGCTCCCATTTTTCATGAGATGAACTCAAAGATCTAAAACATTTTCTATATACACAAAATAACCATTTCTCTCAAATATTGTTCACAAATCTGAACAAATCTGTGATAGTGAGCACTTCTCCTTTGCCGAGATAATCCATCCCACCTCACAGGTGTGGCATATCAAGAGGCTGATTAGACAGCATGATTATTGCACAGGTGTGCCTTAGGCTGGCCACAATAAAAGGCCACTCTAAAAATGTTCAGTTTTATCACACAGCACAATGCCACAGATGTCGCAAGTTTTGAGGGAGCGTGCAATTGGCATGCTGACAGCAGGAATGTCCACCAGAGCTGTTGCCCGTGAATTGAATGTTCATTTCTCTACCATAAGCCGTCTCCAAAGGCGTTTCAGAGAATTTGGCAGTACATCCAACCGGCCTCACAACCGCAGACCACGTGTAACCACACCAGCCCAGGACCTCCACATCCAGCATGTTCACCTCCAAGATCGTCTGAGACCAGCCACTCGGACAGCTGCTGCAACAATCGATTTGCATAACCAAAGAATTTCTGCACAAACTGTCAGAAACCGTCTCAGGGAAGCTCATCTGCATGCTCGTCGTCCTCATCGGGGTCTCGACCTGACTCCGGTTCGTCGTCGTAACCGCCTTGAGTGGGCAAATGCTCACATTCGATGGCGTCTGGCGCGTTGGAGAGGTGTTCTCTTCACGGATGAATCCCGGTTTTCACTGTTCAGGGCAGATGGCAGACAGTGTGTGTGGCGTCGTGTGGGTGAGCGGTTTTCTGATGTCAATGTTGTGAATCGAGTGGCCCATGGTGGTGGTGGGGTTATGGTATAGGCAGGCGTATGTTATGGACGACGAACACAGGTGCATTTTATTGATGGCATTGTGAATGCACAGAGATACCGTGACGAGATCCTGAGGCCCATTGTTGTGCCATTCATCCACGACCATCACCTCATGTTGCAGCATGATAATGCACAGCCCCATGTTGCAAGGATCTGTACACAATTCCTGGAGGCTGAAAACATCCCAGTTCTTGCATGGCCAGCATACTCACCGGACATGTCACCCATTGAGCATGTTTGGGATGCTCTGGATCGGCGTATACGACAGCGTGTTCCAGTTCCTGCCAATATCCAGCAACTTCGCACAGCCATTGAAGAGGAGTGGAAAGAACTCATTATACCCTACTGTCCTACTAGGGCATTGCGTTCCAAGAATGCAGGGTTGTTGGTTGTTCCTAGAGTCTCTAAAAGTACAATGGGAGCCAGAGCCTTTTCTTATCAAGCTCCACATTTGTGGAATCAGCTTCCAGTTTGTGTTCGGGCGGCAGACACCCTATCCGTTTTTAAGAGTGCGCTTAAGACCTTCCTTTTTGATAAAGCTTATAGTTAGGGCTGATTAGATTCAGCCCCTAGTTTTGCTGATATAGGCTTAGTTTGTCGGGGGACATCTTACTTCTTCCTTCTCTCTGTCTATACCTGTGTACTCTCATGTTCCGATTAACCCAGCTTCCACAAATTTCTTTATTTTTGGTGTCTATATATGCCGGGATCCGGAGTCATGGATGATCCTGCGCTCCTGTGTCCTGGATCGCGAGCCCAAGGAGATGTGTTGCACTGCGTGAGGCAAATGGTGGTCACACCAGATACTGACTGGTTTTCAGACCCCCCCAGACCCCCCAATAAAGCAAAACTGCACGTTTCAGAGTGGCCTTTTATTGTGGCCATTCTAAGGCACACCTGTGCAATAATCATGCTGTCTAATCAGCATCTTGATATGCCACACCTGTGAGGTGGGATGGATTATCTCGGCAAAGGAGAAGTGCTCACTATCACAGATTTTTTCAGATTTGTGAACAATATTTGAGAGAAATGGTTATTTTGTGTATATAGAAAATGTTTTAGATCTTTGAGTTCATCTCATGAAAAATGGGAGCAAAAACAAAAGTGTTGCATTTATATTTTTGTTCAGTGTAGCTAGCCTGCCTCTGTCCAAAGGTAACAAAATCCAACAATTCACCATTTTATTTGAGGTTATGTGCCAGACTTTATTTTGGTTGGGACCAGCAAATAATTCACATCAACAAATTGCCTTTTAGTATGGATTCAAACACAATGCAATTAGTTTAATAATGAGCTTTGGAGGTGCTAGGCAGATCCTTTGACACTTGGCCTTGACTGGTTGCTGGCTGTAGACATATATTTAATGAATAGATTAAAATATGGTATCAATGCACTCATCTTTATCTTCTGCAGAAACAAAAAAAAGGATATTTTCCAAATTGTATAAGTATTTTTAACTTTGATAAATATCGGGGAAAGAATGCCCCAGCGCCCTTATAGGCGTTTGGCACTAGGCCTGGCTCATAATAAACGAGGCTGCTACAACATTATGGTAGATCATGAAAAGACTCTATCTAATTTGAATACCAGGAAACCATAATGAAAGGATAGACAACACTAAAGATTATATCTGTAGTTGATGCATCTTCAGCCTCTGACTTGTCCAAAAAGACAACAAAGTGCTTTTGGCACTCTTTCTGCTGACAGCCATCATACTGCACAATGCTTCCTGCCAAAAAAGCCCCAGTCAAGGCACGCTAGGGGGCTGATGAAGCAGGTAACGTCTATTGACTCTGCAAAGTGTCTTGGATTCATTTACATATTCCTGTGCTTGCAACAATCAGCATTTATCTCATAACATTTTGCAATTATGAGCTGCTTTCCAAATCCATTCCATAAAGTGTGATCGTGAGGCTGCTTGATGATAACAGACAGTAAGGAACAGATTGATAGTGTCTATTCTAGACTTTGAAATATGCACTGACTAATAGCAGAATTAAACCTGATCATCTGCAAATCTAAATAACTGGCTTAACTCAGATTGTAATCAACATATTCTGTTTTTAAATGTATTTTGATATTCTTTGTTAATGTTGCTGTTTGGCAAACACTTACCATTGTATTGACTTAGTCTACAATTTCATTACATATCATATATCATCATTTCTACGATAATCTTAAACTTTGAGTGTTCGAGCATATCTATAAAGGCCTCAATTTATTATGTTCTTATCTTTAGCCTGTTTTCGTTTTTTGTAGCCTGTCAATATTTCTGCTACAACAAACAAATGTTCCTTCCGAGAAAAACGAAATAGTCATTCTTCTCCTCAAATGCATATCATATATTATATGTAAACCCTTAATGTATGATCTGATCTGGCATGAATGTGGAGTACATTCTAGCTGCTACAGTGCTATCTGGCGCACTTCATTTTTATTCTGAATTTCATCAAAAGGTGCCTAAATGAAAGCACCAGCTGACAGAAGAAACTGGCAGGCGTTACGGTGAATCCACTCCTTAGGGAATCTCTGCTTTTTCTCCCACCACAAATGAACTGACATCTAGAGGAAGAAAAAAAGCCTTGTGCACCAGCAAAGATCGTGACTGGAGAGGGAGGGAGGATTTTATGACAACTGGAGGCCTCCCAGGACATTTAACTGGTACTGCTCACTGTGTGTGTATCCAGCCTCAGTGGTAAGTAGAGCACCAACACACGATGCAATGAAGTTTAGTTCTGCATCACAGAGATCTCTCAAATTATGCTTTCTCTGCTTTACCCGGATAAATAGTTGGAACATTTCAAGTCTCACGTCAATTCAATCAATATGCCATTCAGTCAATATATGAATCCATTAATTAATCACCCGGGTAACAGCTGTCACATTCAGACACTCATTAAGCTGCTTCATATACAAAATAATTGAAGCTTCAGCAGCTCATTTACTAGCTCACTCATTAACACATTTTGTATTGTTTGTTTAATCTGTACCAAAATAGAAGTGTAAATACGACTTGTGGTTTTACAAGGGGTTATGTGTGGGACTATTTCTTGGCGGGAGTGGTGACTTCCTGGATTCTCAGCTGTTGACTGGCAACCTCAAGGTGACGGCAAGAATCCAGAAAATATAACATGTTGATTGGTTAACTTCAGAGGATTTTCATCCCTTTGGAGAGATGCTAAGCTAAGCTAACGGGTGTCTGGCTACAGGTAAATTAATAGTAGTAATGAGTTTCTTCTAGCACGAAAGTGAATAAAAGTGTATTTCTCAAAATGTCAGAAATATTCCATATATTTCCCGATAACAAAGTGAACATTAAAGAGGTGAACCAACCTGCCACAGAGTTTGGACGTGGCATCACAAGGGAGGAAGTGCACTGTATGTGGTGCTGTGGGAGGGGTCTTTTCGGTGCTGGTGGAGTCCTGGGCTCTGTGATGTCGGTTCTAGGTAAGGCCTCATCTGGTCTGGGGGTCAGATTGTCCCTGGTTGGCCCGGGATGGCGGTCCTCGCTTGCATGGCCCATTACACCAGCACCGCCCCCCGGGCCTTCTTCCTTAGTCAGACGTTCACTGAATGGGCTGCGCTCCTCATTCTCAGAGGAACTAGTGTTGGTTGCTGAGCCGCAAGAAAATATGAGTTAAGTGGTGCAGCTATAAATATAAATCATACTTTTAAAGAAGAACATAATGCAGGCAATCAATAACTTGCATTTAACTATCAGTTCAAATTGACTAAGGCTTCCAAATGTAAGCATTGCCTTCCAGTGTAACATAACATTTACCCAATCAACAATAAATAACACCAACTGTTTTATCAGCCACTCAAAACTCATCAATCAACGAGTTTTACTGTACTTGATGCGCCCTTTGCAGTTTTATGTTCAACTATAAATACAAACTCTATTTAAGGAGAAAAAGTGTCCTATTTTAAGAGAATCAGACCCACAAGCAACAAAGACAGCAGTGTCCCAGTTTTGACAAGAGGGAGCTGAAGCCTTGAGGCTGAAGCGGCACATGCGGCGTAGATAAACTAGCTGTTGGGTAGGGGTACACATTTGAGGAGGACTTAAAACCAGCTGATGATGCATCTAACTTTCTAACAACGTATAGGTGTGGCACTTCTGTTTTTTCTGAAAAATTAAGCAGTTCCACCCGCAGTCAAATAGGCTGTTCATGTTTTTTAGTACGCTTGTTTTTTACTTCGAGTAATACATGACTAGGCTAATGCTTCACCTAGTCTAGTGGAACAAAACAATCTGAACTCACAAATTGTGGATAGACATCTTTTGAAATTCTGGCCAGGATTTCCAACAGATACACAGCAGAAACTCTCACCTATGATTCCACTATCCTTGCTCCCTAGGGTGGAGGTAGGGCTTTGAGAAGGAGGCCCAGGGCTGCTCCCAGCGAGGGGACCAGGGCCATGGCTGGGCACAGAGCTGGAGAGGGTCCCACTGGGGCTGGTGCTCGTGCTGCAGTGAGTTGAAGGTAAGGATAAAGGCTGGGACAAAAGCTGGCCTCCAGCACTGGTGCTCAGGGTGGAGGAGGGGCTCTCGGAGCAGGGGGAGGTGGTGCTGCAGGTGAGAGTGGAGCTGGGGCTCCCCCCCTGAGCAGAGGAATCACACTGGGAAGAGAAGAGCATCAAGGAGGTTAAAGAGACATAACATTAAGATATGTGGAAAATCACAAGGAGAGACTTAACCTGAAAGAAAAGAAACATGCCTAAGCTACATGTTATGTTATATTTAAAGTGTAGTAAACCACAGTGCTTTTGCCTTTTGTAGCACTCCACTCTGCATCTCTGTGTTTGCCTTTATGCTCTCTGTTTTGTGTGCCTGAGTTGTTTTTGTGTGTGCACGCAGATGGGAAATGAAAGTATAATTCCAGTTATTTTCATCTTTGCTGTCATTTTCCCAACTTGTTCACAACGACAGCTGTGTTCAAAACTAAATCACTTGCATTTATAATTTAATTTTAGAGTCACTGTGCACACAATCTGCTGTTGCACACAAGGCTGATTGCACACAGATTACATGAAATGTAAACATTGTTCATAGGCGAAAGGATGTCCTTTTACCTAGGAAAAATCCAATGCACACAGCATCAGTCTGCCTGAAAGAGGAAACTTGTTTAATTATAAATCTAGAACTGTAAAGAAAATGAGAAAGCAGTGTCAGTGTGTGTGGGTGTCACATAGCAACTTGGAGCAACTGCATGTTAAGCCCTATAGTAAAGCAAAATACACAAGTGTTTTTTTTACACAATAATTCCGATCGGAGCTCATCTGAGATTGTTGAAGCAGTATACAAGACCCATTCTAGCTGTATATCATATATTGATGAGAAGCTTTTTAGTCTGCTTATTTTGAGTGAAGAGATACATTAACGGCACATATAAGTACAATATATTAAAACCTACCATGCAACAAATCGTAGTTTTTTTCCCCTCACAAATATTGTAATAGTATTTATCACTGTTCTTTGAGAATACTTTCAATGTACTGCTAACATTACATGTATTAATGTGTGTGGCCTTTAAACAATAACGACAGCAGCAAAAGCGCCATGTGAAATGTTCAGAAAATGTAATCATAATCATAAGAAAAATGTGGTTAATAAATAGAAATATTTCGTTAGAATAAAAGTGTTTTTGTACTCCTTTTTTATAACCCTTGAAGTTTGATGACATGCATTTCAGGTCCCCTCATTACTGATGCAACATTTCTGCAACACAGAGACAGTGGGGAGAACAGGCAGCAGAGTTGAAACAGCTCACTGTTATTCCCTTTATACCAGAGCCTCATCTATCTTAGCCAGGACAACCCACATTCCTCATATGAGCCTCGCTATCTCTGTAAAACTGACTGAATCTGGAGCTCAGGTGGTGGAATGAGGCTGAGAAAATGGGCCAAGGCTGAGCAAAGCAAAGCCATAGAGATGGAAAGGCACATATAATAACAAAGGGGTTAAAGTGATAGGGCATTGAGTAGAGAAAGGGAGCCCTGCGTTAGCCTAGCAACACGAATAATATTAGTGTTGTTATATCTATGTTTCAAAAGGGGATTTGAGTGGTCAAATCTCACGCGATATTCATCACCATGTTTTCTTGCACTCAACTAAATTATAAATGACAATCAACTTATCTTAAATAAGTCAGGTTTAAATATTTAAAGAAGAAATTAAGATCCTGAAGGAAATCTTAACGTAAAAAGGTGATATAACAAACCATTAATTGCCTCTTTTTTTTTTAGCAAAGGGGCCAGTGAATCTATATGCAGCCGTACCTTCTTTTCCCTCCTGTCCTCCATAGGAGAGCTAACAGTGCCAGGCGTTGCTTCTCCCAATAAGAAGCATAGTCTGGTCATCAGTTCCTGGGTAGAAAGGGAGGAGCCCAGCTGGGGCTCCACGTGGAGGTCTGAAAAAACATACACATTCAGGACACACCGATTAACAAGCAAATGGAAACATGGCAGGCCAGAGGTAATCGTCATCTAACTGACGCTCTCATTTCAGCTCAGCACGCTTGTGAGGTTCCCTCCCAGCTGCATCGCCAGTGATAAATGTATGCATCCACAGGTCAGCACAGTCCCAGCTGCCCTGATTGAGAATGCACAGACAGTGACTTTCCAGTCCCCCTGGTTGAGGCAGCAGCATGAGGTTGTGTGAGGTTGTGAGGTTGCCTGTGCACACGCCTGCCAGGTGCTCTCGGTTAAGAGACGGGTTGTGAATTTCAATGAGCTTGGTGTCGACACTCCAGAGCAGAAAGGAGTGCCTTGGCTCTGCCTCCTCTGTTACTCCAGGAGAGATCGACTGACACAGACCATGTGCTGCATTCATTTATCACTGTTTAAGGCTCCCTGGTGCTGCTTGACCTCCAACCCCGGCTACTCATGGTCCCTGTCACCTCTGCAGAGAAAGGCTTGAACAGATTTCACATCTCTGTGGTTTAACCAGCTGAGCAGCACAGTCCTTCGTTCTCACACCTATGCACCGTTATCAGCTGAATAACATGCATATTGAGTAGGCATATAAACAGGATGACAGGACATCACGGATTACAGCAACAGCTCACTCCTCCTCACAAACATCTATGCGTTTAGACATCACATTCATTTCACACTCCCTCCCCTGAGTCTTCATTATTCTGTCATGGTGCCTAACTAACTGTGTTTAAAAAGTATACTGCATCACATCACTCTTTCATTGAACCCAAAGGTGTTTAAACCCTGAGAGGATCAAGGTGAGCTTGGTAAATTGTGTTTCATGAAGTGCCCCAGTTCTAGCCTTCAATACTCTTTTCACTTCACAGCTTGAAAAGCTGCTGAACACTTGGGTAGGAAGGGTGGATGTGTATTTCAGAGAGGGGGAGGAGAGACAACTTTGCATTTAGTCAGCAGAGCACCGAGACCCAATCTGGAGTAACATGAGGACACACTGAATGTCCAGTACAATTCATCAAACCACCCAGCAGTTGCCATTGGAAACGGGAAGCTGAGAGGTGCCTGGCAACCGGGATAGAAGATGCCTCATAAAATGTATTCAGCCTAAGGGTAACCCTCTGGTCAATAACATAAAGAACGCCGGTTGGATGTGGGTATTTATGCCCCAATTGCTTTGATAACCATACAAACCGCATGCAAAGAAGTCAGGACAAAACTGTAATGAAACAAATCCACTCATTCAAAAACACTGATGATTACACCTTAAAAGGAAAACTTAATGCATAGCCTTTTATGTGTAATTAAAACACAAACTCAAACTTCAATTGCATATTAACAATCACTCACCTACAGCCAATTCATCCTCATTCAGCTTCCCCAATCAATACCTGGAAAAAACCCGACACGATGCTACACACACTCCCACACACTCCGTGCTCACCTCTCTGGTCTGTCCTGCCACGGCACGAGGCAAAGACAAGGGGATCTCTCGTGTTGGAAGAGCCATCCACATACTCTCGCTGCCTTACCCGTCCTTCGGCCACAGCGAAGAGGAACAGCGAGAGGGAGGGAGAGCACGGTGGGAGAGAGGGAGGGATAGAGGGTGGAGATAAGGAGGGATATGAAAGAAAGTGAGGGAGAGTAAGGCAAGAGGGAGAGAGGAGAGAGAGAGGGAGAGAGAGAGAGATTAAGCCTCCCCAGATGAGATCTGTGGTGCAGAATTTGAATTGTGTCCCAGGAGTTTAAGGCAGTATGTACAGAGTGCGAGCCATGCATGCAAGCATTACAATATTCACTGTACCGTGGGCGTTTATCTATAATATATTAGCACTGCTAATGTCTGTGTGTGCGTGTTTTTCTGTGTGTTTGTGTGATGGCAGGGACAGTGGTGCACTCATATTGAGGTGTGTCTCAATTTATGCAACAACATCTGAGGGTTTTTGAAAACGCAGATTCTTTAGGACTGGAGATAATTCAGAGATGAGATGTTGGCGAACACTAAAATGTGCTGACATTTATACTCAAGGTTATTTGGTGTTTGAACCTCACATGTGGATAGACTCTGGAACACTGTTCAATAAACAGTTTAATATTTGATTTTGCATGACCAAAGAAGACATAAAGGCCATGACAGTGTATCATTTCCCTCGTCATGACCGTTCAGTGTACTAGGAAAAACAAGGCAGTGCTGCATGCAATGAAAATGTAACAGCACCTTCTTCTGAGTGGCTGTACTCGCTGCAGGATACTGCCACCTTGTGCTGCTTTCAACGTAAGGCAAACAACGCATACATGGCTTTTTCATTGAAACATTTGAAATGGAAGCTTTAAATATTTAAAATCTCACAGAACTTATAGGGGAAATAATGTTAAAATAGAATAATAGTATTCATTATATTTCTATTGCCATAAACAAACTATATCTGTTACTGCTTGTTTAAACAGTGGGTGACATCTTTGGAATCTCAACAGTTTTAACATCATAAAATACACTACAGGAATTTGCCCATGTATTTAAAAAGTGTTATTTTGATTCAATAATTAAGTATTTATGAGACAGTATACATCGTAGAATATGCTTAATCGTAGAATATGCTTAATCTTCAATTCGGTCTGTATGTGTTACATTAATGCACGTCTTGGGGACTATATTCTTTACACTGTATACTTAATAATTCATTCTATTAACCATTGCACATCCTTGTTTGCACATTTCTGTGCAAACAAACACTTCCAAAACCACACAACTCATTCATTTGAAATCAGATTTATTGTATATATTTTTTGCAGTGTCTTTTTCTATTTGTTTTATAAATATGTTTCTATTTTCTTTTTCCGGTTCTTGACTATTTATACTTGGTTGAATTATTATAATTTGTTTCTGCTTCTATGTTTATGTTTGACAAAAGAAAAGTCCTTGTTTGTGGTAATGAACAGATATTAATCCTGATTATTGTAGAAGACACCATAAAATCAAACGAGAAAATGTGTCCTCCACTCAAACAGAAAACATGTTTAACCTTAACTGATTTAAGGTATATTTTGAAACCTGCCACTCAATTGTCTTTAAATTGTCTTTAAGAAATAAATATGGTGTAAGAAAAAATCTATATCCATAAAAAAGAAAAGAAAAAGCTTAGGAACCTGAGTTTTAATTTAACATATTTTGTCAAAAACGTTGTCTTTTTTGTGACTAAAGAATATTGTATTCATAGTAGAGCCAAATTAATATAATATCTCAAAATCAACCTACCTAATTGGGGTTGCTTGCCTTAAGTTATCTTGTTCAATCATTTACTCTGACAATCTGTCACATGTCCCAGGCCCTGGGGGCAGAGATGGGATGCTGTTGCATTTGCTGTCACATGTATGGAACAGCTGAATGCACAGAAGCTCTCTGCTAATCAAGGCGAGCCCATGAAAGCATTCTGCTTTCTTTGCAGCTATTCCCTGATGCATGGCTTCTTGCTGTTCCCAGTTTCTCATAGTGACACTGTGCTTTATGTGTATTATTGTTATTCAATTTAACTCACCTGGGAACTTCATGCACGAGTGGGAGGGAACTATGTCGGCCTGTCGAGGGAGGAGAGGGGAGGACGGTAAGGAAATGGACGCTCCCTTGGTCAGTCTCCTCAGTTTTACCGGGTCAGTGGCATGATCCTTGACATGTGTGGCACGCCCACGACTACCCTTCTGCAAAGTGCTGTGAGTGTACACTTCACTTCCTATATGGAGAAGATAGGAGTGTGTAGGGAAAATATAAAGGGGGACATATGTTGCAGTGGCTGTACAACAGATGAACATATTGCAGAGAAAGAAGAGCAACATATGCATCGTATAATGCAGCATAGAGCAAACCTATCTTGTCTCAGGGGAATATTACTGATTGATGTAATGGAACGATTTTAATGCGAGAACATCCATTTAAAGAAACCAAACCAAACCTAATAAAGAGCCGACGCTTATTGTTTTTTCATACAATATTTAAATCATTTTCATACTTTGTCCGTCATGGAGCCTCATTATGTCCACTTATAATGGTTATACCAGATAACAGTAGTTCACTGTGGAAAAATGATCTCTCTTATGTCTGTTTTTGCCGTTATTACCATGAGAAAAACAAGAACTCGGAATGTCCACTACTTAATATTAAAATGCCACATGATATGCTCTTGCATAATTCCTAAATGTGAAGAAGGATCAGAGCCATGAAACATTTAATGTTACACTTTTAAGAAGAAGCGAGATCTCTGGGCAAATGATCAGAGCCATTCCAATGTACTGTAAACATACTATATCATTTTTAATGAGACTGACACAGTTCTCTATCTTCCTCTCAGTTCTTGGTACCCAGAGCAGCACATTATCAAATATTAATGGGCAACATGGTTGCTCTAATACTGAGCTCTACTTATGTTTATCTATCTCCACTGCGCAGTCTGATATCTCCTCTGAACTGCAGCAGGTTGACAGATCTCTCTGTGAAAACATCCTGCTCCTGTTAAACAGCTAAATGTTGTTCAGCAAAACTCAGTTCAGTTCACATTTAACTGAGAATACAACTAAACGTTCAGTTTAGTTACAACAAATACATCACATTTATATCAAGTACGTAGATTTGTTTCAGACATTTGAAGCCTATCACAAATTGTTGTAACATTCTGTGTGTTTTTAGTAGGTCAGGATGTTTGCCTAACCCCCACCCCAACTTCTTCTGACACACTTTAAATGCAAGCAGTGGGACACTGTGTTAAGGACAGCACACACTGATGAATTAGGCTAATTGAAATGGCTCTACTTAAACCACCCAAGAGAAGAGATCCTGAATATTGCCATCAAATAATGCAAGACGTTGTGCGTACAACATTAGACAGAGCCCAAATGCGCAATGTTGTCTTTTATTTAGTATTGTTACAGAGGGTGGTTTCAGTGTGTATGCTCTTACCTGGATGTCTTTGGTTCTTTTTCTCTCCTCGTTTTCCTCCTCCCTCTCTCTTGTTTCCAAACACTGCTCTGAACATACTGCTGCTTCACTGTCTAATGCCTGTGGTAAATTAAACAAAACGTACATTTGAATTAGGATTTCAGGCAACATTACCCTCAATGTTAGCTGTTAATTCAACAGCTGCAGAAGAAACAGATTGAATTGTTGGTTTATGAGATGATCTAACTATTTAGTCTTTAACAATGAGCAATTTATTCGAAGTTAATCACTAGTGAAGATAGGGGTGGTCAAACATAAAAACTGATGACTTGAAAACAAAGCCTTAATTTACCTGCTCTTAAGTCTTCTTTAAAGCTTGCTATCTTCACATAAATCCACAGGAGACTGATGGAGGACCAGTTAAACTCGCGGAGTCCAATTAAGCAGTGCTGCACCGTCAACTCACAGTGTTGGAGGAAGAGTCGAGCACGCGCTTCGTGCACGTGCGTTTATGTTCCACATCTGACGTATCATCGGCAATGATTTAATGTTTTTAATTTAATCCATTTCGTTCTTTTGGCCTAATTTACGTACAGTATGTATTTTTCATAAGTATCTTCATTAGTGTATTATTTACTTAAAACTGCTGCTGAAAACACCACAAACAAAAACAATATTAATAATATAATAATATATTTTTTTTAAACTAAGATTATCATGAAAGGGTGTAAAACCGACTTTAAAGGAAAGTTTACACAGATGCTGAATTCTGCTTCGTTTCGTTACGAAGGAAAATAACGATGAATTGCCCAATTAAAAAACGTTTTCTTTTGTATAATGTTCTTAAAACAACCGTGCTACAACAAGCCTTATATCAAAAATGAATAGCATCCAACAACAAAACACTGTTTTCATGGGGGATAGTTCTTTAGACATATAACTTAACTGAACATTTACTCACTACTGTAAAAATAACATACCAGGGGCATAGAGTGGCGCGAAGTCACGCCCATCTACTTCCGGTCCATGGGAGGTAAACCTTCCTCTCCGTCCTCCAGGGGGCGACCCTCACACATCTCGGTAACCTATTTAATCTGGGGGCTGCAGCTTTCACGGTCTTTCAGCGACTCACTCACCAGCAGCACGCAGCAAAAATGTCCTCTCCAATATCCATAATGCCAAACAACATGAACGAGTCAATCTTCTGTACCGACGTGGTCTGCTGTAAGTATCTTACGTTTTGCACATTTATGGGAAAAAAGTGTTAACGTTAGAGCGTTTTAGCTGTAAAATCTCAGTCTGTGGACACGTGTAAATTAGCTGGTGCCATTTTGTATCTTCTTCTGAATCATGGTCTCTATCCGTTTCGTATAAAGGAACAAAGATACCAGAATTGCAATGGTTAGTTCAACTGATTTAATGTCTTTTAAAGATGGTAAACATACAGGACGCTAACTGAAGTTGGTACATGGTTTTCGGGCCTAGGGAAAACATTTCTACCGTCACACAGGTCAGCAGCACTGGAAATGCCTCGTTGCTACCATGCTGGCTAACTTTAATGCTAACTTTACATTTGTAGTTTATACAAATTAGAATTGTCCTAATGTCCCCGAAATCGTGGGAATGTTGTTTTCTTCCATATACCAGACAACACCTAATGTCTACTGGTTTTGCTTGTTTATTGTACGATGATTTGTTTGTTTTTATCAGGTCATTAAAACGGTTGAACAGTTGACAAAATGGTATATAAATACTACGTGACCCAAATAAATAATTGTCGCCGCATCTTTGACAGCCTGGGCTCTCTGTTGTGAGATACCCTGGCTTTTAAGTATTTCAGATGCTAAATTAAATATCCCTGCACTTTCTCTGCTCGTCTTTCCATGGCGTCTCAGTTTGAATCAGGGAGGATAAATCATTTGGTGTCATTTAAAAAAATAAAATAATGGGAATGAACCAGTAGCTGCCGATCACCTAATTGTTCAGTAAGCGGCAGACACAATACTGTAAGATCCTGAATGTAATGGGTTTTCTCCCTTTTTCAGTTGCAAGATGTATGCTTAAATGACAAGCCATGACAAAACTACAGGACTCCAGGATCTCTGGGTTATTTTTGCACATTCTTCTTGTAAAATAAATGCCATATCTGAAAAGCAGTTGTGGCTCCTAAAGCCTTATATTTAAAGTACAGTTTTGGCCTATTGGATGTCATTTAAAAGGAACTTGTGTATGGGCACTACTGTCAAATAACTCCTGTTTCATACTTGTTACTTGCAGATCCTATGCCTTTTGAGGGATCCCTGTGTGAGGCGGATGCAGGATGATGGCTGTGTCAGCTGCTGCAGAATCTCCAGAGATGACTGCTGCTGAAACACCACACTCTGCCAGGCAGTGGAACCACAGGAGTTAATGCATCCTGACAAAGGAGCTCCAACAAGAAGACTGCTGCCCTCTGCATCCAGTCATGTATGTAAAGATGTGTTTACTTTGTGGAGACGCATGCTAAGGCCTAACTGTTTTGGGGATCAAGACTTTTAGCTTCGTCACAAGCCGCATCTTTGACAGCCTGGGCTCTCTGTTGTGAGATACCCTGGGTTTTAAAATTTCAGATGCAAAATTAAATGTCCCTGCGCTTTCTGCTCGCCTCTCCATGGCGTCTCGGATTGAATCGGGGAGGATAAATCAAATGTTAAAAACTTGTTGATATGGTCAATCAATTAATCTATTGGTTCCTATACTAATGACTTATTCTGTTTGAAGCCTCAAGTTAATGTTTTTCCTCTCCCTTTGACAGTCTCCTGGGTAAGCGTTGGGAGATGAAACTTGAGAGAAGATGTCCCAGCTGTGATGTTCACTGTTTGCAGTCTTTGTCCGACACAATACTTTGCAGGTGAGCAGGTGCAATATTGTCTTACAGTTAAGGTAGACTAATTTGCATCTACTGATAGACCTGAAGTATGCTTCTTTGGCTTCAAGGTTTGCATAGAGGTGCTAAATTGAACGTTCCTTGTGCTTTTTGACTGCTAAATACAATAGCAGCACAGAATAAACTGAGGAATACATTTTAGCTTTTTGAGGAAAGTCAAATTCACTAGTAAATGTGACCACTGAAGTCCATTTCCTAACACTCCTGCACATTTGATGTGCTTGCTCCATAAATGTCCCAGTCCTGTCAACATGTATTGATTTGTAGTTGTGTATATGGTCAATAATTTCATCTAATGGTTCCTATACTAATGACTTATTCTGTTTGAAGCTTCAGGTTAATGTTTTTCTCCCTTTGACAGTCTCCTGGGTTAACGTTGGGAGATGAAACGTGAGAGAAGATGTCCCAGCTGTGATGTTCACTGTTGAGCAGTCTTTGGCCGACAGGTGAGCAGTTGTAATATTTTCTTACAGTTAAAGGTGGGGTAGGTACGTTTGAGGAACCGGCTCGAGATACACTTTTTGTTATATTCCATGGAATGCTCTTAACATCCCGATAGCAATGAATATCTTAACAAAAAATTCATCTGTGGAACCCGTAATACTGTAAAAAGCACAACCAATCCGTTTAGCCGGCCCGGCTAAACGGATTGGATTGCCGCCCTGTCTGTCAGCCTTCCATCTCGTGCACGCACAAATGTATCTCGTGCCCTCATTGGACGTGCATTGCAGCAGCACTTCAATGACTTGCCAGCAACAGGCGGCCACGTTCACCAGTCTACTGACGTCATGTGTGTTGGAGGAGGTGCTCTGTAAGGAAGTCTGAAGGAAGGGGCAGATTCTTTTTGGCTGTGTACTTTCAAATTTTAGTGCACTCGAGCCGGTTTCTGAAACTTACCTACCCCACCTTTAAGGTAGACTTTAATCTGCATCTACTGATAGACCTGAAGCATGCTTCTTTGGCTTCAAGGTTTGCATAGAGGTGCTAAATTGAGCGTTCCTTGTGCTTTTTGACTGCTAAATACAATAGCAGCACAGAATAAACTGAGGAATACATTCTAGCTTTTTGAGGAAAGTCAGATTCACTAGTCAATGTGACCACTGAAGTCCATTTCCTAACACTCCTGCACATTTTGAAGTGCTTATTCCATAAATGTCCCAGTCCTGTGTCAGAACAAATCTGGTCAACATGTATTGATTTGTAGTAAGTGTATAGGTTGCACTGTTAATAGAATTTGTATGTAGCAGGCATTTTGCCATGAATTTGCTCGAATGACATCTGGAGGCACAACTACTTGTTGCATGATGACTTGACTTTTGTTTGCTGCGGTTTTTCCTTAATGTTTCATTCCCTTTCAGGTGACAGGCGGCACTGCGAAGGAGATGGCTCATTTTCCTGATGGAAAAACAAATGTGCTTTTATTTTTATAAATAGACTCTTTTCATTTTAGTTTGCTGCGTCTGACTGGCAACATTTCACATGCACATGGTACATCCAGGCAGAATGCATCAGCTGTACATGACATGTAAAACGTAATCCTGAAAATAAAACTATTCGACTACATCTGAAGCATTTTTTGTTTTAACTTGTTGCACGATGTTTATCTATATAAATAATGCAATATTGGTGTGAAAACAAAGTCTCAGGAAATATTCAGATATGACAGGGAACTTTTATCTCTTAAAGGTCACCTGTTGTGCATAATCAATGTTTCGCATTTTTAAAAATAAACATGTGTCCCGTGTGTAAAGAGATTGCTCACTTTTTGTCCTGATATAAAAACCAGTCTGAAAATGAGCTGATCAGATTTTGGCTTGTGTAACCAATAACAACCAAGGTAACCCTCCACCTTATCACCTCAATCTCCTTCTAGCACACCAATGGTCTTCTATAACCAAATATCTCGCAGAGGAGAGTGGCACCTTATTTTCATCTAAAGTAGTGTAGTCATGGACTCTGACCTGAGTTTCAACAGTCACATTAAAACCGTTACTAAATCAGCCTACTATCACCTAAAGAATATATCTAGGATTAAAAGACTACTGTCACAGCAGGATTTGGAAAAACGTGTCCATGCTTTTATCTTCAGTAGACTCGACTACTGCAATTAGTCTGACTAATGCATATATTAAAACGTTTCAGTTTATTCAGAACGCCGCTGCTCGAGTCCTCACTGACACTAAGAAAGTGGATCACATCACTCCTGTTCTGAAGTCTTTACACTGGCTTCCTGTGTGTCAAAGAATTGATTTTAAAATACTGCTGCTGGTTTATAAAGCTTTGAATGGTTTAGGCCCAAAATACATTTCTGACCTCCTGCTAAATGATGAACCATCCAGATCTCTCAGGTCTTCAGGGACTGGTCAGCTTTCTGTCCCCAGAGTCAGAACTAAACATGGTAAAGCAGCGTTCAGTTATTATGCTCCAAATATCTGGAACAAACTCCCAGAAACCTGCCGGTCCGCTGCAACTCTGACTACTTCTAAATCCAGACTGAAGACTTTCATATTTGTTAACTATTCATATCTTAAACTGCACTGTAACTTTTATCCATGTATATTTAGTTTTGTTCATTTTATTATCTTTGCCATTTCTTACAGTTTTTCTCGATTGCTAACACACTAAAATTATACATAAAGCACAATTATTTTAACTGACTCTCAAAGAGCAAAACATCGGCTCAAATCTCCAAAAACGTTTTCAGCTTTTCACACAATTTGCAAATCAACATGGCACTTTTTGCAAACCACTGCACACGTTTCTCCACGTAAGACACAGGAATCTGTCCTAAAGTCACGTGTTAGCAGGTTTCAAACACTGATATTCAAAATGCCTCACGGACCAATGATCCAGAAACACGTTCCACCTGACCAAACACCTGATTGCATAATTGTTGGCTCATCAATCAGGATGTTAGCACTATAAAAATACCACAGTTGAGTACTTTCTTACAGCAACAATGGAAGCCAACATGGAAGCAAGAGTACTCTCTAATTAAATGAAATGTTATCAACCATGGTGTGACGATGAGAGAGGCTGGACAGAGGGTTCAGCCTAATCCAAGCCGATGTACTGTCGCTCTCTGTAATCCAGACACTTAGACTTGAAAACAGGTTAGTCACCAGTTTGTAGCTCTGCATAGTTCATGATATATCAGAGCTTATATCTGTTGTGTGAAACGTATTTACTTCATTACTGTAATTGAATTGTTGGCGTGTTGCATACTATAACTGTACAACAATCCTGCACAATGTACTGTGGTAAACTAACTTTTATGCAACACAGACACTGACCGACCACTATATCTTTGTTGTTTATCTGAAGGACTGAGAAACAAAGAGGTGGAAGGCTAAGGATGTTCAATGAGGCACAGGAAGCAGCAGTTACAAACTGGGTTTTGGAAAACAATGCATCACACTTGGAGAGATCCGAAGCATAGTAGCTATGTGCTGAGATGCATGTTGCACAATGTTAGTTTTTAATAAAATGTGATTTTTTTCAACAACTCATTTGTATTTCTTCATGTACTGTATTTCTGTAAACTCAAGAAATCTTTCTCTGCAGAAACCTCTATGTACAGAGCATAGCCCATAACAGAAGAAAGTGCTTTAGATGATGCTCAGCAGTGTGTAGTTGGGTAGTCAAACAATCTAGTATTATGAATGAAGTGTGTTATATTTGGTGCTAAAGTTTGCATTTGGAAAGTGTTTATGTAGTTTTGAGTGCAGTTCTTCATTTAGCAGGAGAAATTAGGTGTTTTGCACTTTGGGTGTGTGGTTTTGTGAATTGTGTTTAGTGTTCTGAGAAACTGAGCAATTTAAAAATAAATGTGTGTTAGCAATCGACCGAAAGAACGAGATCGCGGATACAAGCGGCCGAGATGGGTTTTCTCCGCAGGGTGGCTGGTGTCTCCCTTAGGGATAAGGTGAGAAGTTCGGTCATCAGGGAGGGACTCAGAGTTGAGCCGCTCCTCCTTCGCGTCGAAAGGAGCCAGTTGAGGTGGTTCGGGCACCTAGTTAGGATGCCACCTGGGCGCCTCCCTAGGGAGGTGTTCCAGGCACGTCCAGCTGGGAAGAGACCAAGGGGTAGACCTAGGACCAGGTGGAGGGATTATATCTCTTCGCTGGCCTGGGAGCGCCTTGGGATCCCCCAGTCAGAGCTGGTTGATGTCGCCAGGGAAAATAAAGTTTGGGGCTCTCTGCTGGAACTGCTACCCCCGCGACCCGCCCACGGATAAGCGGGAGAAGATGGATGGTTAGCAATCGAGAAAAACTGTAATGTCTTTCATTTTTGTAAAGCACTTTGAATTGCCTTGTGTTGAAAGGTGCTATATAAATAAAATTGCCTTGCCTAAAGAAGACGGACTCAGCACTTTTGAAACGGTGCTGAAACAGAGGGGATTATGGGATGCTACAATGTATGATCTGTTTGGTATTTCGAGCCAAACACTTCAGAGACATATTTGTATACATGAGACCTATAATATATTGATGTAAAACAGTATAATAGGGGTCTTTTAAGCCTTTTGATTACACCTGAAGACATCATAACTGTCAGCTTTGAAAACTGTACATCTTAATGCAGAACAAATGATGTTGCCTTGGTTATGATCTATAACATTTGATTACATGTGTAGCCACAAGTTGCAGTCAAGGTCACATTTTGGTTCCCTCTAGACGATTTGACTAAAGTGTTTTTATGGTTGTTCCACTATTTAGTTGCTGTCGAGGTGTTCTTGGGCAAGGTGGTATGATTGATGAACTTGTACAAAGTAAGATTTTCTATTAAAAACACATTTATTGTATTTGTCATATGTAAAACTTTAAAATTACAGATAAGACAGGCAAAGACGTCAAGCACAAATGTAGAATAACAGCAATCTTTTAAAAATATTTAACTCAAATGTCTAGAAAAAGAATCAGTCACATCCTTTTCTTATAAACCTCTTACCTCTAAATAATTTTGTAACATTGTAAACTTGCTAACCAGAGTTAAATCAATGTCTTGCTTTATAAAATATCAGAGGCCATTACCTCAAGGGTGTGCTGGAGCTGTGACAAACTACATCAGGAAGAGACGCTCAAACATTATCCAAATGCCCCTTCTAGTCTCCTATATAATACCAAGATACAACCTCTTCCTGTAAAACATTAACTTTGCAGGATCACAGCATCCAGTGGGTTGAGACTTGATAGGAGAAAAATTAGGAGAGAACACCAAGGTCCAGCCAAGGCCTCGCCTGGGAAATAAAAACGTGGTGCATCGGCCTTGGGAGGGTCAGAAACTATTCGTCAGTCTTTTCATCGTCTTGATAATGTCGGTATTCTGGTTTGAGCTCCCAGGTATTCTTGTGTGTTCCCTTCACGTTGTAAACGCCAATGTCACGCAAGATTTCCTTCAAGTAAGTCTGGGAGAGGAAACAGACCAAGTATGAGAAAAGATTAATACAATGCTCTAATTCAATGTGAATAAAGCATTATAAAAAAAAAAAAGGGGATAGCAAGTCGATAATCAGTAATTTCAAAACGGTAAGCAAACATTTCAAACAAGTGTATCATTCTATTATCCAACTCTATGGTGGACTGTGGTAAAACAGCAACATTAGCATATTAAGAGTACTCGGCTATGGAGAAATATTGATTCAGATCATGGCTGATAAACAACCCATGGAATAACACATCTAATGAACCAGATGTGCTTCTTCGTGATTTAACAGCACTGAAAATCATTCAAACAGCGTGCTAAAAAAGAAGCCCCCATGTTGCCCTCCAGTCTTACCACAGGCTGTTTGGTGATATCCACCAGGTCTTTGATGTTGTAGAACTGGTGCTTTTCAAAAGCAGAAAACAACATGTCCAACACCTGCTGTTTGTCCAGTCTGGCCCTCTTGCCCTCTTCCTTCTTTTTCCGGTCATACTCAAGCTGTAACGAAAGATTAAACAACCATATCACTGCATTTGCATGTCATGACTACTATAAACAGGACACATTTAATTACTTAAGGAAATAAAATGCATTCCTATGTGTAAAGTCTATTAATTACTATATTCTATAAACAAAAAATGTGGAAGGGAGCTTAGCTTGACATAGGCAGATCATCCCTAAGGTCATTGCCAAACAATATGCTTTGCAGAATGTGCTTTTAAAGATATAGTGGATAGTTCATATTGCACCAATAAATTGCACGCTACACATTTTATGGAACATGCCAAAACAAATTGAGTAGTTTAATAATCAGTCTTACATTGTAGGTATGGTTGGCCACAGGTTTGTAGTTGCTGGTGACCGCTTTCTCCAACTGCTGGGACAGCCTGACTGGCTTGGCCAACTCTTCAAGTTGTAACCTGTTAAAAACCATGATGATCACTGCATGACATACCATCCACACTTATTCACCTGGAAAAATTACAAACACCAGGTCGATGTAGTTCAATGTAACTAACTGCAATTCCTACTAACTTATGTGATCTTCAGCATCTTTTAAACATTTATTTTATTTTATAAATAATACATTGGTTCTAGTGTTTATTTTGTAATCATACAGGGTTTTATTCCAAGTCAAC